GTGGGGGTGGCAAGGTGTATGCAAACCTTACGTCTATCATATTTTTGCTAATCTATCGCGAATGATAAGAGTGGCATTTGTCTGCAGCTTCTCCACAAGTTATGTCTATGTTAGGAAACTCATATCCTTCAGTCGGTGGCCCACTATCTCAGAATCACATCCATGCAGTCAACAACCTTAACTCTATGGGAATGTTGAATGATATAAATTCAAATGACAGTGCCCCTTTTGATATCAATGATTTCCCTCAACTATCCAGTCGCCCTAGTTCTGCTGGAGGTCCTCAAGGACAAATAGGTAATTTTCTTTTCATTTTTTTCTAGATATGAGTTAGGAAATTTAGGTTTTCTTTTTCAGCTTTTTCAGGCTTGTGTATCAATGGTGCTCTTAGATTGCTTATAATTTGTTTGAGTTGAACACTTCCAGGCTCATTGCGAAAACAAGGCCTTGGTCCTATAGTTCAGCAAAATCAGGAGTTCAGCATTCAAAATGAAGATTTTCCAGCTTTACCAGGATTTAAAGGTTTGTGCACTTTATTGTCTGTTGCATTTGTATGGCTGACTTATACATGTTCTGCATGTGCTACTTGCTAGATTATATTCCTGGTTATGAGTTTTATGACACTAAGTAAAAGCACATCGACATTAATGTGTGTGCACTCTATATTCAATTGCAATTATCAAGTTGAGTTATACAGATTTCGTGGTGTGCTACATGCTAGCTTATATTCCTGGTTTTGACTATAAGTAAAAGCACATTGACATGCAGTTGGCGATATGTCCATTTATCATCTTTTATTTTGTGTATAATTATATTTCTTTTGGGCATGTTGGTGCTAGTATTTACTATTTGTCTGTATCTCAAGAAAAACTGCTTGCCACTTGCATGAGCCACCAGTTGCTCTTTCATTTAAATGTGAACACATTGGAATTTTACACACTAATACCGGGAGATTATTCGATCATAAATAGAATGGGATCTTTTCTTTTTCAGATAAGTTATCATTGACTATCTGTTGGATTTCCCAGGTGGCAGTAGTGATTACCCTATGGATGTACACCAGAAAGATCAGCTTCATGATAATTCTGTGCCTATGATGCAACAACAATTTTCTGTAAGTGTTTTTTAATCAGATATTGCTTCATATTTATTTAATTATTGAAAACCTCATCTTTATTACATCTACTTTCATGGCGGGTGTAGATGGGAAGATCTGGTAGTTTTAACATGGGAGGAGCATATTCATCTCATCGCCCACAACAGCATTCATCAGTAGTGAGCAGTAGTGGCATGTCATATTCAAATGTAAATAACCAAGATCTTCTTCACACACATGGTTCAGATGTCTTTCAACCGTCACATTCAACGTTTCACCAGCAGGTGCATATCACATTCCCCAGCTTTACTTAAATAAAAATTCGCATTCCTGATACTTATGTTTTTGTGGATTAATTTTCAGGTGGGCGCATCCTCTAGCTTGGGATTGAGACCTCTGAACTCTCCAAACTCTGCTTCTGGAATCAGTTCATCATATGAGCAGTTAGTCCAGCAATATCAGCTGCATCAGAATCAACCCCACCAATTCCGTCTTCAACAACAGATGTCTGCCGTAGGTCAGCCCTACAGGGAAGACCAGGGCATAAAGCCCTTAGTTGCTCCAGACCCATATGGTTTGCTTGGGTTGTTAAGCGTGATAAGGATGAGTGATCCCAGCCTTTCTTCCCTTGCACTTGGGATTGACCTAACAACACTGGGATTGAACTTGAACTCCACCGATAATCTGCACAAGACATTTGGTTCACCATGGTCAGATGAGCCTATCAAGGGTGACCCGGAGTTCAATGTCCCTCAATGTTATTATGCCAAACAATCGCCACCACTAAATGTCAGTGCAATTTAGTATTTATACGTTGCTGTTACAACATCTTCCCTGCCCCCAATTATTCCCATACTAACTAATCTGGTTATTTTGTTGGATGCAGCAAGCGTACTTTAAAAAGTTTCAGTTGGATACTTTGTTTTATATATTTTACAGGCATGTATTTGGATAAACTAATTCACTGGAATATATTCCTCCTAGTTAAATGTCAAGTCTTATTAACTAACAAAGATCTCTTCACTTCGCAGCATGCCAAAAGACGAGGCACAGCTATATGCCGCAAATGAATTGTATGCTCCCTCTGCACAATCTAAGACATCGTTTGGTAGCATTACATGCCTAGTTTTACTTATGAGGAATAGAACAAATGGCATTTGACATGGCTGAAATCAATTTTACTAAAAGCTTTTCTTTTAAAAACATCCAGAAGAATCAGCCTCAGCCATTTCAATTAAAATAACTCTTGCCAAACAGGCCCTAAGTATATGCATTTTTTACGCTAGTGTAATTCGTTTCGGAAGTCTACATTGGTTAATTGCAGTATTGCACTGTTTTCTCGCAGGTACAACAGAAACTGGTTTTATCATAGAGAGCATCGGTTGTGGTTGTTGAGGATAAGCAACGCGGACCTTCTTGTTAAGACCAATACATACGAGAGAGGATCTTATATTTGTTTTGACCCAAACACATGGGAAACTGTTCGTAAGGTACACTGGAAGGCTCGGAGCACGTTTTAACCTTTTATCTACCGTGCTATTATTTTACTCGCCATTATGGACATTACTAACCGGCATTTAACAATGCAGGATAATTTCGTGCTACAATATGAGATGGTGGAAAAGAGACCACCTCTTCCTCAACACTAACCCTCCATGTACTTGGGTGTAAATTCTGTAACCGGGTAGTTCCTTACCAGTAGTTGTCCAGTTTATCAGTTTTTTTAGCAATCTTTTCCATCATTGTAGATTCTGTATTGGTAATGTCAACAGTCAATTAGTTCAAGAATATGGTTTACAGTGCATTCACCAACTCTAGTATACATCACAACCCATTTGTTCTTATTAGTAGTAAAACCCGGGTTTCCCCTGCCTGAGTATTGAATTGTTCTTGGCTCCTTAAAAGTTTTTGTTAATCATTTAGGCCTTTCAATTCCGTCTACAAGTATCTCACTTGACTTCTATTGAACCCTCTCCCCGGCATTACTTTTGGTGTGTGCTAACTGCTGATTAACACATGTTTTCCTCTACTGTTTGTAGTAGTTCGAACTGTTTTATCTAACATGCCCCAAAGGATTGCATCCCTTAGGTTGTGATTTTAGTTGTATCCTAATTAGGGGCGGATATGGTTCCGATGTTGGAACAGTTAGAGCCTTAGGTCTTGTTCTTTTGGATTGGAAAAATTAACTTTCAATTCTTTTCAGTTTCTTCTAACTTTTTCAAGTTTTTTCGAACTGTTTCCAGTTTCTTTCAATAGTGACTTTAAAAAGTATTTATATATGATTAATATAGAATATCATTATATATCTAAATTTGTAACATAATGTACACAAAAGAACAAGGCCTTATTTTCATAGTCGTCTTGGTTTTGGTTCTTGAAATGGTAGTTTCGGTTGACAATGTGCATCCATAGTCTTGGGTAATGTTTGATCCAAAATTAGGGTCTTTTCATTTCAACACCTTTGAACTAAATCCCTCCCAATGATTAAATATTAACTTTATAGTCGTTCAAAAAAAAAGAGAGAAAGACATCCGCCCAAGTCATCATCCAAACTAAGGAGTATATATCTTGACGAATTGCTTGCATTAAATGGCATACATCTTCTTGAAGTCATTGTGGAGAAGCTCAGAATCAGAGACGGAGGCAGAGAAAGACCTGGACCTACTGCACCCCCGAACCGAGCTGACGTTCCTCTTGAGGGACGACGACTCGATCCGGTGCATAATCACCCAGTAACACATCGTCCCCAGCGTGGTGGCCAGTATCGTCGTCCCGATGACGGTGACCACCACGGCGAGCCACCTCTCGCGCCTCCCCACCACCACGAACGACAGCGCCAGGAAGGCCACCGAGATGAGGACGCACGCGAGCCACATGAGCTTGTTTATGACCGCCATCATCCGCTTCTTCGCCCTGCTCTCGATCACCACCACGGATGTCTGCACCACCACCACCGCCAGCGAGATGAAGAGCGCCACCGAGTCGAACACGAAGAAGACCATGAACGGCGCCTCCGACGCGATGTTCGCCTCCCCGAGCGAGTGCCCCGCCGGGACGTCGTCCGGGTCGTCCACGTACTGCCCCGGCACCATGAAGATCGCCGCGAACGCCACCGTCGCGATGAGCACCGCCACCACCGTCGTCGAGTTTATCGCGTTGTTCAGCCCCTCCGCGTGCATCTTGTTCAGGCGCTTCGCGATCCCCTGTATCCGCCGCCGCGTCTGCCTGCTGTGCTCCAGCTGGTAGTGGACCTCGTGCTTTATGTCGCTCACCGTCTGCTTCAACTCCCTCGCCGGGTTCGCGGCCCCCGCCGGCTTGAAGGACCGGGCGCTCTCCACCCCGTGCTCCCTTAGAAGCGCTTCGATGTCGGCGTGCCCCATTTTTTCGGCGGTGTCAAGCGCCGTCTCACCGGACCGATTCACCGCTCTCGTGTCCATTTGCTTCTGTTCCAATAACATCTTCACAATCTGCACTCATGTTATTGGAATCCCAAATTAGACACATTTCAAACATATGCCCTATGTGGCTAAAAATGTGATTCAAGTTAGTCTTTCTCTAACCTGGGCTCTGCCTTTTCTGGTGGCTATGTGCAAGGTGGTGTTGCCCTTGGTGTCGACCATGTTAACGGACAAAGGATCGGCTTGGACGAGCTCGGCCACGACGTCGAGATTCTGCCCTTTGACCGCCATGTGAAGGGCGGTTTGACCTTTCTTGTCGACCCGAGTAACGAGCCTCGGCTCCTTACGCAAGATCGCCTTCACGACATGGACATGCCCATTCCTAGCAGCAGAGTGGAGAGCGGTTTTGCCATTGCTCTTAGCAATGGCAGCCAAACTGCTCTCTATCTCCAACAAGTAATCCACCACCTCTATGTGCCCTTGCGTCGCCGCCGTGTGTAGGGCTGTCGTGTTCGCCATGTCCACCGTCATCGCTAGCTCCGGATGAGCCTCCATTAGCACCTTCACCATCTCTTCACACAAAAATTCCCACATTTTATCACACCTTATAATAAGAACAAAAGCTATCAAAACAGCAGGAAAAGTCTCTGATAGTCTTTTCAAAATGCTAATGTTTTTGACAGGTGTACCTAAGTCGCCTTGTTTGGCGGCAATGTGGAGGGCGTCGAAGCCGTTTTTACCCTTGATTCCGGCGGCGGCGAGATCGTAGTATTTGATCAGCTCCCTAACCAGCTCAACATAGCCATACTCTGCAGCCACATAGAGAGCCGTTTCCCCTGCCGAGTTTTGCTTCGCCAGAAGTTCTCCCCACTCTTCTTCCCCGGCGGCCGCCTTCTCAATCGCCTCTCTTATTGCGCCCATGTTTCCGGCTCTCGCCGCCGAGTGCAGCACCGTGTCCTCCCGTTTTCCGGTCAGCTGCTTTGTCATCTTCTTCCGCGGAGCCGCCGCCGCGGCCGCCCCTTCCATCTTGCCGGAGTTTCTTTAATTTCTCTCCTTCTTTGAGCCTCTTGTATAAGGATGAGACTCTCTAATAATGGGCAAAAAACATCTTCTTCCTCCCTTCAAATACCCAAACCAAAAACCATAATTTCTGCAAAAAAAAAAAACAAATTGGGACAACACAATAATTTTGCCTTTTAGATTTTGAATAATTTTTAAATAGTTGTGATCAACATTGAAATTACTGAATCCTAATGTGAAAAATTAATGGTGAAATAATACTTTCAAAACGCTATAATTAAACGCTTGAAACATTAATCTCTCCAGAAATCATCATGGATTGGAACATAAAAAACACACCCAGAATCTGAATTAACCAAGCAAATAAATGAGGAGAAAAGATATATGAATTTAAACCTGGATAAGATGGAGAGAGTTTAACCTTCTCTTGCTAATCGCCATTAATAACCAAAGAGCCCATAAATCTGCAGGGCTCGTGATGCTCAAAAACGCCTTCAAAAATGTGAAAAAATGCTATATGAACGTAAAGATTCTAAAAGGAAGTAGAAGAAGAAGAAATGTGTTTAAAATTTCAATAACATGCAGGAAAATTAAATCACCATACAGATTGAAATCTGTTATATATAAAAATAAGGATTTGAGTATTAGAGAAGGAAAAGTGTTCATTAAAAATAAATAAAAATAAACCAAATAAACTTTCTGTATATATCCCGTGTTTTAATTTTTTTTTCATTAAAAAAAAATAAAAATCAGGGCAAAAAAAGGAGTTGAAATGATGGGAAGTAACTATATAAATACCAGCTCAGAAGTCAGAATGAACCAGAGGTGAATTGAAGAAACATCACCGGTTAAAATGTTGATAATTTTCTTTAACTTGTGATCAAAGGAAAAACAACCCCCACATACTGGACCGGACCACATAGCTCACCACACAAAATATTGTACAAATAATAATTCATTCCTACAAAAAAAAAAATAAGAGAGTTAATGTTTCACTTTAAAATACCTGAAAATGGGTATAGTAACTCGTTAAAGTTATTTTTAATTTAATATACTTGAAAATTGATATACTCCATATAATTTAAAAATAAAAACACTCTCTCTAGCTAATATATACTCCGTATTTGTGGCAAGGTAGCCATCATTTTTAAGAAATATTTGCACTAAATAGTACTAAATTTTAAGTTATTTCTCTAAATAGCACTTAAACTGTTTTATTCCCTAAATAACACTTAATAATGTCCAGTGATGACAAATATTTACTTGATTTTTGACTAATGAATAACGACTAAAAGTGTTATATTCGAAGAAAAACACATTTGATGCTATTTAGGGAAAGTCATTATGTTTTAGTGCTATTTAAGTAAATTATTTTTAATTTATTAACACCGCTATTATTATTATTTGTGTTGTTGTTATAATAATAATAATAGTATTATTATTACTACGGAGTACTATTATTAATTTTTGACAACAATATTATTATTATTATCATTATTATTAGAGTAAATTTCATAAAAGGTCCCCGTTATAGGTCGTTTTACATATTTAGTCCCTACATATCAAATATTACTAATTTAGTCCCCAATTATCATATTCATTTCCACAAATAGTCCTTTGTTAACATTTTCGTTAAGAACGTGGATAAAATTGTAAATTCACACTCCTTTCTCTCTTGAATTAAGCTTCCTCCCTCCCCTCGCACTTCTTTCCAAAATCCGTCACTGAGTTTGAAGCTTTAAACCCAAAATCGAAATCATTATTCTTTTCTCAATTGTTTGTCTAACTAGTGGAACCCAAATTCGAAACCAGTAACCTTCATTGATAGGTTTTAATGTTTATTTTCTTTGTAATTTCTTGAGACTAACCGATAAAACGCATCTATAAAGCTTATTGGTTTTGATTTAACATTCCACCGGGAAGACTAATAATTAAGAGAGGAATGATCATTTCAGTTTTAGTTTAGAGCTTCAAACTAAGCGACGAGTTTGGGAAAAAGTACGAGAGGAGGGATGAAGCTTAATTGAGGAGAGGGAGAAGTGTGAATTTACAATTTCATCCACGTTTGTAACGGAAATGTTAACAAAGGACCATTCGTAGAAATGGATATAATAATTGGGGACTAAATTAGTAATATTTGATATGAAAGGACTAAATATGTAAAACAACTTATAACTGGGGACCTTTTATGGAATTTACTCTTATTATTATTACTATTATTACTCCGAATTATTTTGAAAACGTGATAATTATTTGTAGCTTTTTAAGTTTTTGCCATAGCGACTTAGCTTGTGGAGGATGTGTTTGGGTAATAGTAATTGTGGAGATGGAATAAAATCCAAAGAGTCACGTGACTTTGAAGGCCTAAGAAGCGACCAACAAACCCATACATCCACCATTCTTTCATTTCCATCACCCTCACCAAAATAAGGATAATTCTATGGGGACACCGGATATGTACACCGGATGTCCTCCATATACTCCATACCCCCCCCCCTCCAAAAAAAATTCACTCCACCCCAAAAATAAAATTTCTCTCTCTTTCTCTAGGTTTCCCCCTTATCCCACCCGCTGCTTCGCCGTCCATGCGCCTCGCAGCATCATAGCATGGGGTTGTCTTCATCGCGTCGTCCCTGCGCCTCGCAGCATCATACCCCTAGCGGGACTGTATCCTTTTTCTTAATGCTACTCCGTACTCCTCCGTCCTTCTTCCAATTTACTTTTCACGGTCTCCAATATTACACTTTGACCATTAATATCTATATTTATACATGTATATATTTTATAAAAAATTGATATTTGAAAACTACGTTTCATTATGAATATATTGATATTAAATTTACATCATAATACAATGTATTTTTTCTCTAAGTCGTAGTCAAAGTTTATAAATTTTGACCAAGAAAAGTCAAATGTGAAGAATATTTCCAGACGGAGGGAGTAATTACATAAATCTAAACTTTAAATTTCTTTAGGGTGTGTTTGGTACATGGCAGTGATAAAATTGGAATTGAAAGTTGACAATCTAAAAAAATTAATTTGGATATGATTAAATTCTTCAATTGCAATATTTTGGACTCAACACTTCAAAATCCACATATTTTTACATCATCAAACATTAGAATTAAAAATATTGTCATTAATTCTATTTTCAAAGTTTGAATTCCTTTTTACAAAAGGATAATTAGTATATTTATTTTAATGTAATTCATGTATATTCAAACCGGAATTCAACACTTTCGTCCTGGTAAAAATTGGCTTTGGTACCCAAACTCAGAATCGGAATCAATATCACCCCAAAAGGTTCCAACCCCGGTTCTCCCTACCCATCCTAAAGGTTTTGATTCTGATTCCGTAACCACCGGTTTGGTTCCAGTACCAGTCCGAAACTAACATTATGTTCAGTTCTAGTTGTGCTAAGACATCTAATTTTACACCATTTTAGCATCCATAATTTTAAACATGTGCACAAATAAACATTAGGAAACTTTCAAATAAATATGTACCAAAACTAGTTTTGGATAAAAATTTAGATGTATTTCATATGACATTAATAAATTTAGATATACTTCATATGACATTAATGTTTATTCTTCATATGTAAATACGAGTATATTTTTAAAGTAGTTGGAATAAACTGAAATGAGTTATAAAAAAACTAGAAAAAAAGTTAGAAAAAATTAAGTCCTTCATTCCAAATGAAGAGACCCCAACTCTTTTCCTAATTCTAACATGTTTCCTAACTTTTAAATTATTACGGAGTCCTAAGTAAATCATTTTCTCTATGTTTAACAAAAAATAAAGAGCATTCCTTAAGACAAAATAAATACAGTATGTTGAGACAGGATCAAAATATGATTCCATATTGTTTTCCGTTTACGTTTTTTTCCCATGTAGCAATAAAACATGCAATCTATTTAAGAGTTTGTTCTCTTTCATAAACCTGATTGTTTTAACTTGCATTTATTCAAGTCTAGTTTAATCCTTTCTGATCTGAATCTTTCGGATCTTGAATTCATCATGAATTAATCCGGTTGAAGCATCAACGTTCATTTTCATAGAACTCTCGTCACTGTGAGCTCTTCAAATAGAGCAACCTGCAAACGCAATCAGCCAATCAATCCGTAAGCCACAAGTTCCAAGTGATGATTTCATTTGTGCATTGTTATCCTCTCTCTCTCTCTCTCTCTCTCGGAAGAAAGAAATCCCATCTCAGCGAGATGGCTAAAATGCAAAAGCGGCATAGGGATTCACTAAAAATATTGTTTGCTAATTTTCAATGTTTATGCTTTTAAGAATGGGTCGGTTCGATGAAGATTTGAAGTTCAGTAGCCACAAATGAACAAAATGCAAAGGTAAAGACAGATTGTGCACTTGGGATGACTTATTTTCAAGGAACAAGTGCCTTTTAAAGTACAAAAAAACACTCTAAGCACTAAAATTAAATGAGGAAAAACTTTACCATAACTATCCCAAACATGTTCTACTAACATCCCAACAAACCTATCTGCAGGAATATATCAAGTGTAGCCCGCGCATGCGTACTTTCACTAGGGAATCCCACTACCCAGACTTGGTCAGTAATACTCACACTTCACAGAATGTGATATGAATAGCATGTGCATTGCTAATGACTCAAGGCTTGTATTGGAATTTTTAAGAACAATAAGACTATGTTATCAATAATTACAATTCGGGAAACATAAAGAGGCTAGTGTGGAATTACCTATTGTGTTCTGCTTCAGAACAAAGGTTTGTAAAACTTCTTTGGAGGCAAAATAAATCCAGTTTGTAGAGCATAAATCCAGTTCTTTCCAGTTTATTCCAACATCCAGCTTTTTTTCCAATCCTAAAGAATAGGCTCTAAGAGTGTAATACTCCCTCCGTTTCTTAAAACGGTTCTTGTTTTGACTTTGGGGCAAAAGAAGGAAAGTAATTTTAATTGACTTTCCAATTTTGCCCCTGATGTGATGGGTAAAAGTAAGATGTGATAGTTTAGTTATTAGTGAAAAAGTATGATGTGATAGGTAGAGTATGAAAAAGTAGGGGTAAAAGTAGTTTTTTAATAGAAAAAGGAAGTGTTTTAAGGAAAACAAAAAAAAATGAAAGAGGAAGGATTTTAAGAAACGGAGAGGGTATAAGTTATTACCAATTATATTAATAAGTGAATGTTTCTTCTGGCTAAAGGTGTGTTCAGTGATCTGTAGAGTATGATTGCAGCCTTTTGATAGGGCAAAAGCACCGAAAAGGACAGGATTCATTGATTCAGTGATGAAGGCTAAACTAGGAAATAACCCTAATATCTATCTTTGGAGAAGCCATTGGGAGACCCAATCTGTGATCAAGAATGGATATACATGGAAAATTGGCACATGCATAAATCGATCTTTGGAGGGGTCCCTGGCTGTTGAATATACATAGCCCTCATATCTCTTCTCAAGCACTGTTTTTGTGCAATTCTGCAAGGTTTCTAGGATATGAAGAGAATTAGCTCCTTCAATCAAATAGGCCAGGACCTTATTCGGTCTTTTCCCCTGTCAGTTAGGAACAACAATGATCTACTTCTCTATACTAGATTATTGACAGGAGAGGTATTTACTCTGTTAAACCTTCTTATAAACAAGAGCACTAACCTGGTGGAAGGAACCAAGGCAATACCTTAATGCTTCTGATATTGGGAGAATATGATGTCTGTTAAACAGCAATAGTACCCAGTACTGCCTTGGCACTGCTCATGTACAATGCTTACTGGAATTATAAATTGGTGAGATATGCTACTATCTTGTTTAAGGCTAAACCTAGAGAACATTCTATGTGATAATTAGAGCATAATTCCTTAGTGTATCAATCTTTTCAATAACTAAAACAATGAGATCGTGGTTGAATTCAGGAATCAAATGTTGATAGCAGCTCCTAAACAAACCATGTTTGTCTTTTTGCATTCTCTACGCACTAAATTTTGACCTCTTGATTTATCTTTTAGGACAAAACATCATCCTTTTTTCCCTTTAAAGTTCAGAATCTCTTCCACGATATACTTGTGACTTTTACACTGTTTGGTTCAAGGAATTTGAAAGGGAAAAGAAAAGAAGATGAGACGGAAAACAGTTTTTTTTGTTTGGTTACAGAGGAAAAGAAAAGAAAAGTGAAAGGAAAAGAAATGAGAAAGCAAGATGCACTAAGAAAAGAGAAAATCAAATTCCTCCCATTTTGTTGAGGAAAATGATAGAAATCCATTTTTTTTCTTTCCTTCCAAATTCCTTGAACCAAACATAATTTTAAGCAATAACTTGCATGCATTAGGCAGAGATTTAGAAATTTGCTCAAAGAAATAGTTTCCATAAAGTGAATCAAACCTGTGCAGTAGAGTATTTGTATCTTTGAGGCAACACGATTTGTGGATGAACTTATTCACTACTTAAAATCAATAGGAGACACTAACCTCATTTGCATGAGACAGGTTAACATGTTTCACATGCAACCATTATATAAATGGTGATATGAACCCTGTAATTACAAGGTTTAAATGGGAAAAAAAGGGTTTAAATGCCAAAAAAGTTTTAAAATAGAAATCAAAAGTAAAACAAGTTCACTTTGGTTCCAAGTACAACACGAATACCCACATAAAGCTTAAGACTCAATACACAATCTAAATTATCTAATGGAAGGTAGAGTGATTAAATATTATCATAGTCTGTAAGGCGGCAAGGCGAGGCAAGGCGCCAATGTACCTTCATATCGCCTAGGCGACTAGGCGCGCGCCTAGGCGACGACTAGGCAACATACATACCTACATGTATATATATGTGTGTGTATATATATATACATACATATATATATATATATTTATATATTTATATATAGGTCTTATACATTTTAAGGAAGCTTGACAGAGAAGACCAAGAGAGAGAGAGAAGATAAGTTTAAGTCTATTAGGCTACACTAAAAAAGAAAATGGGCTGCACTAAAAAATGGGTTTTTTCAAAATTTTAAAGTGGCCCAAGGCATCAAGGCGAATTAAGGCGAGGTAACGCGAGGAAGGGCGACGCCTAGGCGAGCGCCTGGTTGCCTTATGGTTTTCTAGGCGAGGCGAGCACACAAGGCATCCCCGGGATAGCGCCTTATCGCCTAGGCGACGCCTTACAAACTATGAATATTATGTTTAAATATGATCATATTAGGGAAATCTATATTTGTAATATTGATTAATAAGGAGCATTTCACTTTAAACTGAAGCACAAAATTAACTTAATCGTGCAATAAGAGGTACATCTATCTAACAGGGAGAATGCGAATAGTATGCAGTACACCTAATTAACTTCATTTAAAAAAAAATTATATTCTAAAAAACCTCAACCTTCAACATATTTTTCAGCCCCATCTACATTAGCATCCTATTTTTTAAATTTTTAAGGCATAAGGAAGAAATTCAACAAATAAACTAAAACGTACCCAAAAATTTAACGTGGACACAGAAAATATTTTACTTTTTTAAAAAAAATGAGAGATTTAAATAACATGTTGGGAGTGAGACAATTATTTCCATCCATATATACTCAATAATAATACTACATACTTTGTAATAAATATAATAATAGTTCATCTATGCCAAAACATACAGGTATTAGCTATTAGAGAATATAGAGAAGTCCTTTAGGTTCTGCCATATACTCAAATGAAAGAAATAATTCATTCCAGCAAAAATATGACATGCAAAAAATACCTTTTAGAGAAAGTTCTTGAGTTCAACAGTAGCTTACAAAATCACACACCTGAAACCCAAAAGGAAAATTGTAATGGAGTTGGGGAATACACTTCCTAATTGCCCTTAAGACTTCTATCTAAACCCAATACAGATGGCTTTATATCATAAAGAGTTCTCCTTAAAACGAATATAACAACCCTTATAGAAATTATGAAATTATATATTAAGACTTGTTTTCTACCTTGTGCTTCACACGGACTCGTATAATCTCACGTAAAATATAACTATAAGCTCTATTTAAAAAATAAATAAAAATGAACTGCCCAAAAAATTTATCAATACATTTTTAAATATGATATTTTAATGCATGTTTGTGTAAGAAAATAAAGTTTTATTAAGAAGAAAATGATACAAAAGGAAGTGAGGGCCAAACCAAATCCCCTCAAAGGAGAAAAAGCATAACATAAGATTAAAACTTTTTAAATTAAAAGTACTGAGGGAAAAGACCGAGCAGAAAAAAACAGAATCCTAATCAATAATAAATAATACTACAATCATTGCAGATTCTCAAAGGAGATCAACATTGCAGCATTACCAAACAAAATCAGCATCCCAAGCCAGTGTAGGATTGCAGCCTAACCAATTTGCTGAAAATGAAACCTAAAAAACAGTCAAATTTCAACGCATAAAACTCTCTAGGAAGAATAGGTGAGTAAGCAAGACAGAAATAACTAAGATATTGCCATTACACCAAATGTGTAGCCACAAATCCAGTAATAAAATGATCCCAAGGCATCATTAGTTAAGGTATTGCCATTAGGTCTAATGTGTAGCCATAAATTTAGCAACAAAAAAAACAAGAAAAGGAAAATTAAACTTAATGGCAATGCAATATCATTTTCGCAGAGCAGTAATATAATTAGGAGTTAACTCAAAGCAATAGAGTAATAATCCATAAAGAGATAACTCAAAGAAATAAAGTAATAATCCAAATGCAACAAAAACATTAAAAAGGATGACTTACTTCTTTTCACTACTTGCTTTTAAAGTTATTGTTCTTTTTTAAGTGGTTGTCTTTTTTCTCTTACCTTTTAGAGCTTGAAATGTAATATCTCTAGTTGCTTGACTTTCCTTTTTGGACATGAGCTCTTTAATATCCGTAAGAGATCCTTTGCAAAATCATCTTCACTCAGCTCCTCCAAAATCCCAATCGGCATCGCCAACTTGCTATTTGCTAGAACTTTGGCCTTGCTCCACGTCATCATTTGTAAGGGGGAGTATGTCCTCTCGTAGAGTTTAAATAGCACCAAAGATTGTTTTCCGCTCCTCGAGTACTTCCAATGCTTGTATGGGAGAATCATTGAAAGCAGAGGCGGATCCAGGATTTTACAACCATGGGGTCCTCTACCTCCCATTACCATATCAAACTACTTCATAAGTATTAAGATTTAACAATAAACTCAAATAAATATTTGAAAAGTACCACAATTAATACATAGAAATAAAGTCATACGAAAATAATATTAATTAAATAAATTAGACATAAAATGAACATTAATATAATAATACTTATCACTTGCAATCCTAAATCAATTTTTATTGAAGAAAAATCTTTGATTCTTTAATGAATAAGTAATAAGTAATGAATAAAAAATAAATATATAAATTATTATATATTTATATATTACTAATCATATATCAAACTTCAAACTACCATAAAAATTAATTTTAGTAAAATAAAAAAGTTTTTAAGACTAATTATCTGTTAGGGCTACCGCTGTGGACAATGGTCGAACTTCGTCGGCACGGCGAACAAAGGCCGGCGGGCGACGGGAAAGAGATATGGAGAATCGCCGAAGGTTAGGGTTCAAAATTAAAAATTCGAAATCGAGAAATTGGGGAAGAGAGGTCAAATTTGAAGAGAAAATAGGGGTTACGTGTTTTAATTTTTACGCGCAAAACGACGTCGTTTTACTCTATGCTTTTTTTTAAAAAAAAAAGAAAAAACTGGTTCTAAAAGATGAAAGTTAGGGTTCAAAATAAAAAATTCAAAATGCAGAATTGGGAAAGAGAGGTTAAATTTTCAGAGAAAATAGGGGTTACGCGTTTTAATTTTTACACGCAAAACGACGCCGTTTTACTCCATTCTCTTTTTTTAAAAAAAGGAAAAACTGCTTCTAAAAGACGAAGGTTAGGGTTCAAAGTTAAAAATTCGAAATAGAGAATTGGAGAAGAGAGGTCAAATTTGCAGAGAAAATATGGGTTACGCGTTTTAATTTTTACACCCAAAACGTCAATTTGCTCCGTGCTCTTTTTCTTTAAAAAAAAAAGAAAAAACTGACTTAAAAGATAACTAGAATGGGAGTCGAACCCGCGCCTCTTGCGTTTCAAAGCCCCGCACGCTTCCACTGAACCAAACGCCGTTATAGTAACTAGCCGCTACGCTTTGTTTATATACTAAAAATATTTACAAACATAATACCTATATAGACCTACACCGGGTCCGTGGGGTCCCGGGACCCCATAGGACTCAAGGTGGGTCCGCCTCTGATTGAAAGGGTTGTCATCAACATTAATATGATTGTAGAAAATGGGATTATCACTTGGAGGATCCTTTTCTTCCCATGCATTCAGCCAATGAGCCAAACTTTGTGTAAATACTAAAATGAGTTTGATTCTACATCTCCTATTTTTTCTTCTTCTTGTTCCCTAGTAAAGGCAAAGCTATGAATTGATTTGGAACAAATTATGCTTCAATGGAGAAAGTAAGCTTCATCGCTAGAAGCCTTTATCCAAACATTAATGTTGAAATCCTCATCAACTTCAAATTGCTCAGTGTTCTACATCCTCCTGAGATACCCATTATATATACAAATGTGGTAATATGGTTCATATTTATAATATGGATCTTATATAAGCAATAATTAACAATATGCAGGTTTAACTAATTTTATAAAAAAAGGATGAACACCATAGGACTTCACGCCAACCTAAGAAGAGGTAAATAAATCTCTAATATCAAGTGATTAATAGGAAGTGAGATTCATCTCAGGTATAATTAGTATGAGTATGACATGACTTATGAACTTTTAAAACTCAATTTAAAAATAAGTTTCAACTTACCTAATAAACAATGAATCAACACAAGGAACGAGAAGTATACAATTTTACTTTATATTAAATTGTGCAAAAAAAATTAGAACTAATTATAGGACAAACAATATAACTACAGAAAAAAGTGTGTGTTTCATGAGATTCAAAGATATGTAAAAAGACTTGCAATCATATGGGTAGTTAATCATGTCTTAATGGTTAAATGCAGATTATAAGTCTCTATGGAGTATATGCACAATTAGTTGATGACTCGAGGGAGTGGTCCAAATTAAAATTCTATAAACAATAAATGATTTACCTCCATCCCAAGTAATGTCGTCTGGACTGAAATTAAACAACAAAAATGAGAGTAAGTAGATTGAATTGAATCTCTATGAAGCATACTTACATCAAAGTATGTTGTATATAAAACATACAGCATGTCCAGAAACACATAAAGAACATATAATCAAGCTCTAAGGTTATACTGATAACAGAAATCCATTCCATGATGCTATAAACCAGTTTTTTGGATAATTTCATCAGTTCTATGAATATCTATGGCTATACGTGAAGGGAACTATCTTTTAACTGCAACTTCAGCAAGTCTTTGAACTCATTCCTCTTAATGTGCCAACATTAGATGAATAAAAAAGAGAGAAAATCAAGCATGCCTGAAATGTTGTACTTAATTTCTCTTTTCATACTTCTATCTTTCGTACTTCCTATTTCGTTCTTTTTATCCAAAAAAAGGGCATAAATGACATCAAATTACTTGTTGAAATGAAACAAAGAGTGTGCTCAATGTCGTTTTATCTCTTTTTCTAGCATTTTTGAGTGAGTATATAGATGGGATTGAATAAAAGTATATGTTGATTGAGATTGATTGTGCTTAACTTGGATATATGCTGCAAAGTTATGTGTACCTTATTCCTCCTGCAATGGAAAGAAAGATTATTAGAGTAATGAACAGATATTTGAAAAAAGTGTGAATTTATTCTCCATTAATGATTTGACCCATGTGTCATTGTTCTAGAATGAACATGCTAGGGAAAAATGGAAAACTTACATTGTTGATATGGACCATTTGATGTACCCCTGGATGGCTCCACCAAAACCCCAAAATCCAAAACAATACCAAAACCCTAATCTCCTCTTCTCTTCCTTCTTCTCCCCCTCTGGCCGAAACTACAACCCATCAACATACCCCACATGATTTTCTTCATTGAATTAAAACATAAAAGACCAAAACTCATGTCAAACCACAAACCTAATCAAGCCCCTCTTTGTCCCCATGTAAGGCCGAAACTAGAGGCCAAAAACAACCCCTCTTTTATTCCCCAACATTGACCAACCATTGTCCCCCTTGTGTCTCCCACCTAGGCTGAATAAACAATAACAAAAGGACAAAAGACTTTTGTGAGTTTATTGACACTCCACCCACCAAATCAGTCCCCACATACCTTCCATGAATGACCCAATATAAGGCCAATAAAACCAACCATCACCCATCCCCTTTGTCCCCCATTATTTCCCAAGAATCATCACTTATTTCCTTGTGATTTTCCTCACTAAAGGACAAGCCACCAGCCATGAAAATCAAAGACCAAATCCCTGATTTCATTCCATTAAGAAAACATAAACAAATGGATATTATTCTTGTGATTTGTGNGTGTATTTATTTCGGCCTTAGGCCATTTTGTGAGACTCATATTGTAATTCCATTTTCCATTTAGTAATACACTTGTTGTGTTTGCTATTTAAATTCCTAAATCTATATCTTAAGAGTGGTTATCTTAAGTGTGAGTTTTAGGTTCTAGATATTTAATTAAGTGTGTTATATCTTAATTAAGTTCTAGACTTAACCCCAAGTTAAGATAAGAGTGTGTAATATCTCTTAAACACCAACTTGGTTTATCCCTTCATTTTACCTCTTCCCATTTCATATCTCTCCATTTCTTCTTCTTGAACTTATTCTTTTCTTTCATCAAAAACCCAAAAAAACAACTCTTTGTTCCACCCCCATATTTCGTCCCCCTCATTTCCTCTTCACCATTCCATAATTCCATCTTCAAATAGCAACTTGATTATACCCCGGGTCTCGGGTATAACACCATTCCTCTAGAGTTATACTATACTATCTATGGTTATTGCATAAGTTTTTATTACATGGGATCATGTGACATGACTTTCTCAATCTACTGATAGACCTAAACAACAATATTTAAAAACAGTATACACCAAAGTCTAGACTATCCTGCATGTGAGAAAAGAGATTGTTTGAAATTGTACTAACCATATGAGTAACATTGGTTGCTACACTGCTTTTGTGCAGGAAGTTTCCCTGAAAATTCCTACGATGGTGTATATAAAATTTATTGTTATTATTTCTACGGGGCAGTAGTTTTTCTAATTAGTTCCTTATTATTGAGAAGATAAGAATACATGTAGCGGCAGTTGGTAGCTGCAAAAAATCAATGCTGGCCTCAGGCTTTGTTCTGCCACTAGTGTTGTTCCAGTAAAGCCAATCTCAATGGCTTCCAATTTCATGCTGTGTTTTTTTTCTATTCATTTTTCAAGGAAATGCCATTCCTAAATGATTTTACATGTTAATTGGGAAAAAAATAGGGTAAAGAAGATGCTGAAAATCTCACAGTTTATTGTGATCTTTGATCTTCATTCTTCCATGAAGTTGAGAAGTCAATGTCATACTTAAGTGTCATGTTTGGGTGTAGATGATTTTCTATGCATTTTTCAAAGAAACAACATTCTTAAATGATTTCACAGATTAATAGAGCAAAAACAGGGCAAAGAAGATGCTAAAAATCTCACAGAGTATTATGATCTTTGATCCTCCATGAAGCTGAGAAGTCAATGTCATACTTGAGTGTCATGTTTGGGTACAGAACTCCTTACACTATGTTTGGTTCAAGGAAATTTGAAAGGGAAAAGAAAAGAAAATGAAGTGGAAAACCATTTTTCTTGTTTGGTTAGAGGGGGAAAGAAAGGAAAAGTGGAAGGAAAAGAAAATGAGGAGGCAAAATGTACCAAGTGGAAGGAAAATCAAATTCCTTCCATTTTGGTGAGAAAAATGAGAGAAAACCATTTTCTTTTCTTTTCCTTCCAAAATCCTTGAGCCAAACATAGTGTTAGTGTTGTCCTCTTCCACTGTTCTATTTTCCTTCTCCGACAATTCATCAAACAGTTGATGGATATATACCTACACTATGTTTGGTTCAAGGAATTTGAGAGGGGAAAGGAAAAGAAAATGAGAAGGAAATCATTTTTTTTGTTTGGTTAGAGAAAAAAAGTGGAAGGAAAAAAATGAAAAGGAAAAATGTAATAAGAGGAAGAAAAACCAAATACCTCCCATTTTAAGGAGGAAACTAAGGGAACACCATTTTCATTTCTTTTTTCTTCCAAACTCCTTGAACCAAACATAGTGCTAAGTAACACCTCAAGAATCTAATAGAAATGCTTGTAATACTACTATGTGTCTTCCCCACAGAGAATTTGAGTCAACAAATTGGGAGGATCTCAATGTAGATTTATCTTAAGAGCATTTCACCTCATCAGCATGACCTTCATCGGATAAAATGAGAAGTAGGCCTATATATCTTTCTTTGCCAATAAGTTATTAATACTTTTTTTATAGTTGCAAAGATTACTTATGCTTTGTCCTTAAAATGGTCAAGAAGTTCAAGAGGAATCAAATGAGGCAAACCTTCACAGATTCTTCTTCACAATCGTTTTGTCGAGCAAGCGGATGACCATATTAATTAACAAAAAATCACATCAAAACTCAACACCTTCAGTAACCATGTGCTAAAATTATATCTATGTCATCTTTCCCGAGTTCAATATAAGAGAGCTCGTATGCACATAGCCTCCGTAAGGATACAAATCAGTTAAATTTTATCTGAGGAGCATTTCACAAACCACCATCATCAGAATATATAACTTTAACCAAGTACTGGATATTCTCAAGAAAGTGAAGTTATAGTGATCAATAAATCAACAAATATAAAAGTCAAAGCCAAAAGAACACCTGCCAGACAAAGCGCAACACAAGGAAGAAGGCTGAATGAGCGGCAAGGAGGAGCTAAAATGGCAATTGAAGGGGTTGAGCTGGGAAGATGGTGCTGCCAAACGGGAAGATGAAGAAGCAAATTAGTGGAGAACGGCAATTCAACCTAGGCTCATAAATGTCGTCTCAATGTGGGAGAACTGAGCACACATAAGTTATCTTCTCTATGGAGAAACAATGGGTTAAGCATGGGAAATAATCAAAGACGCTGAGGCCAGGGAAGCAAATCATCCAAGAATTTGAGGTGGTTGAGAGAAGAGGACATCCTTGGCAGAAGAGTTGGAAAGTTAAATTTAATGAAATCAACACGTAAAATAAGTTCTCTTAAACTTACTCTCTTTAAATATGAATATTGAGAATTTGATGTTAGCATAAATTCCTGTCTCTAGAGGGAAACTGGGAGTAACTAAGGAAGAGTAATTGTAGGTAGTTCTCTTTTGTACCTACTGCTAATTAGTTTTTTTTGTACCTACAGCTAGCCCAAAAAACCTTGGCATTACTAAAAATGTGAGAATAGGAATAAAATATGTTTATTAAATTTTTGCCTCAAATATCTAATGCTTTTTACTTTCTCTCAGGCACAAAAACTGGTTGGATCAACCGTACTTGTAGCTGACAATGATAGACCAGCTGAGTAGGAGATAATCCATGTCAAGCACTCAAGCGTCATCTCATATGCCACGTGTCAGATTCACACCTAAAGAACTCTATTTTATAAGTAAATAATTAAATAAATCAACGTAAACAAAACATTTATAATGATACCTTATTAAACGATCTACAAATAGTCCTTTAAGAAAAAAGTAAAAGCAAGGATCATATAACTCACTCTTCAAAACTCCAACCACTTTAAAAACATACCTGGTCTAGAAAGCTTTTATTCTTGATTCTACATAAGCCAGCAATGCCATTTCCTCTGCTGTTTGTAGGCTAGTAGGTTGAGAAGGAACCTGTCGATATCAAGTCCATTAAATTCAAAAGATCAAAATAAAGGTCCATCAAGTACACCCAAACAAATGCAATGAATCTGTTTAAAAATCAAAAATTTGCACAGGAAAGAAGAGTAATTCTGCAAAAATGAGTCAACCATTACAAGCAGTTGGACCATGAACATTCTGGAGTAATGAACCACAGTTTCAAGAACAGTGTTGGAAGGCCCGGAAGCGGACATCAACCACTCCAACTCCTGTTAAGATTCGTGTAAGCACATCATCAAGCACATTATGTGCGTCTGTGAGAGAGCACTAAGAACCTGAGACACGCAGCCCAAGATGTAGAGGAAATTTGCTCTCATCTGTTCAAATTTAAGAGGAAATTTTACACTTGTGCTTGAAGAGTAATTCCAACAAACCAGCATAGAGAAAATTTCATACAAAATACTTAAAATGATATACTCCCAAAATTGTGTTAAATTCCTAATTTTTTTCGCAAGTCCCAAAACCATGTCTCATTTCATTAAGGGAAAAAAAATATGAGATTCATATTATTTCTCTCCTCCACAAATATATCAATGAACAGTTTTCACTCCCCTAATTCAAGTTCCCAACCAAATTGTGTCCCGATTCTGGGACAAGGTGAGTGCATAAAATGTGAATGCTGAATTCATACATGAGGTTAGTGGTTACCATTCAAAAGGCGAACTCCCCTGACACTCTCATAGTATTTCCCTTCCCTTACTGCTAAAGGCACTAGTGGCCTAGAATCAAAGCTCGTTATAAATATTTGATGATAAATGATTAAACGTAAAACATGATGAAAGCATCTATAAAGTATTTTTATTTTTCACACATAAGATGTATACTAATGATTGTAACAAGAAAAAATATCATAAAGGCCTTACACGAGATATAGATTATGACATAAACTATACATATTTCCCTTCTCAAAGTTTTAAGGGAGACAGTTTATCACATTGTGGTTATGATGGTACACCTGTGAGCGAACTACAAAAACTTTATCCTCATCGGTTTAATTACTTGCTACGGAATATATTTTATTAGAACGTGCAAGAGTGTTGCACCAAATGCGGCCAGGCTTTGGGATGTTTTCTATTTTCCTTCCACTCTTAACGTCGTCTTATTGCCTCTTTTATGTGACATTTGAGTGATCAAGTGTGGATCAAATTTGATGCTTCAGTTGATAAAAGAAAATCATTCAGTTAATCTCTATTATTAACACATTATTTATCTTCAAACTTGTGCATCCACTACCGCATCCAAGCAAAATAAATTCTTTAAGCCTCTCAACATCAATATACTAGAAAATGGCAATAAGATAAATGAAAAGAACTCAACATCATAAAGTGTAGGGAACAGCTAGAACTAGAGTAATTTAATAAGGGAATATCATGGAACATGTACCAAGATTTACAAATCTCCTTAAGAAATGAGTATAATGTCAACTTGCAAGTTTCAAGATGTTCCATAACCCAAGTGTAAGCCTTGTAAAGCGCACTAACATTTCGCATTTCCAAATGTGTCATTCACTCTCCTAGATAGGAACCAAAAGGAGAGCGAGATTTAACAGTCAGATCTAACAATAAGAAGAAAAAGGGAAGGATAAATATCTTTTGCAATGTCGACACCAACAGTACAAAAAAATCAACAAGCAGACAGCGCTCGAACAAATGTAATCTTCAATAGGGGCAGCACGGAAAATACGCAGACACATACCCAATAAGCCTATCATGTATATATCAAATTTTAGCATTTGTAAGATATACTGTTTAACAGAAAAACACTCAAGATCTAATAACTTAATCCACTTTTCAAAATTCAATTGATAATTTCCACCTAGTTGAAACAAACTGATGCTAAACTACTACTATTTCAACCCGTCGTGTGAGACAGCCACAGTCACACCCGTGAATATGTAATTTTTCCTTGCTCCAGACAGACACTTCCTCTAAAAGATGCCATAGTGCCACTAAGCATATATCAAACCCAGGTCGAATGGGAGATGAAAAATACTCTGAGTTGGATCGGTGAATAACGCCCTATGCTGACTGAAGCACAAGCGGCAAGGAGGAACGGCACCAGGGGCACTTCTTGACACGTTCGGTGTTCCACATTGAGATGCAATCGCAGTGGAAAACTTGAGAGCAGCAAGGCATCTCGCTCCATGGCTCGTCCTGTTTGAATATTTCCCTGCAGATGGGGCAAACCCACTCTTCTTCTTCCCCTTCCCCTTCCCCTTCCTCTTCCTCTTCCCCGTCTCCTTCCCTGTCCCCTTCCCCTTCCTCCTCTTGCTCATATTGCTCCTCCTCCTCTGGCCAGGCAACTCTACAAAGAGCATTAATGAATTTTGAGAACCAATCATTTATTTTGGCTGCCTCATCATTCTCATTAATGTCTCCTAGGTCCAAAATTAATATCTTGAGAGCAAATAGAGATTCAAGTTCTTCTTTTTTTTTTCTTTTCCTCATAATCATTATCAGGAATGAGGACTGCTTGGCCTTCATCATCACCATTCTCAGGAATGAGGACTGATTCGCCTTCATCATCACCATTATGAGGAATGAGGACTGTTTCACCTTCTTCCATGAATCGTTTTCCTTCTTCGTCTATAAGGGGGAGTGTGACGTGGGTCACCTCGCAGATTTCCACCACGAACTTGGGAGATAACCCCAGAGAAGCAGCCCCCTGGCGAAGTTGGTCCATAATCGACTGGTGAGAGACTTTGAGAACCCTAAGGGCGGTAAGCGCTTCAGATATTATTTTTAGATTATCCTTATCATCTATAATGATTCCGTCTTTAGAGCAAGGAAGCTCAAGGGATGACTGCCTTGCTTCCCGCCAATCATTCTCCTCCAGGAACTCCGTCATAGGATTTCCTCCTGCCACGCTTAATCTCAGGATGCTCTGCACCTTGAACAAAACGGATGAAGAGGATGCCGTACCTGGAGATGCTGCTGCGGCGGCGATGGGGTGGGCTGCTTTAAAGGAGGAATCTGGGTCTTCATCGTCGACGTTCTCAGGTGTGAAAACTCGAGTTTCGTAATAACATCTGACTTTGCTGCTACATCCGGATTCGGAAGAAGCCGCCATAGCCAGAGCTTGTTTGTGGCGAGGGAAAAAGGAATCGATAGCGAAACGCCTTTGATCTCGATTTGTATATTTAGGAAATACTACGGTCTACGGGTATCAATTCCGAATCCTACTAGGAATTTGACTATTTTATTAGTGCTACTCCTTGTTACATAAATCTAAACTTTAAATTTTTTTAGGGTGTGTTTGGTACATGGCAGTGATAAAATTGGAATTGAAAGTTGACAATCTAAAAAAATTAATTTGGATATGATTAAATTCTTCAATTGCAATTTATTTTGGACTCAACAATTTAAATTCTTAAATGCGGTAGTGGATGGAAAAGAATGTACGCAAACAAGTCGCCTTAATTGGTTGAGGGCAATGTGTTAATAACAGAGCTTCTGAATGATGTTCTTTATCAACTGAAGCAACAAATTCGAACCACGTTAAATTACCTCATTGGATGATTGCCAGGTCATAAGAAGATTATAGTCTGTCTTGATATATTGTTGTATCCCATGATTTCCCTGCATGTTAAGTGTTAACATAAACTCTTACAGTATAGGTATGTGATTTCTCTTTAACTGTAAAGTAAAATATTTTCTGTTGTACACATTAAGTTTTAAACACGGAGTAACTATTTGACTTCATAGGAATTTGGGTGTGTATATGTTTATTTGTAGGTTTCTCCCTAATTCATTAAAACAATATGATGTTTCTATATGTGGGACTGAAAAATACTTCGAAAGGTGCCAATATTGAAGGTTAAACTTTTTTAGACCAACCTTTTTAAATATATTTTATTAGTTCTACTGCTTATCGTTCCCATATTTTTGTGCTGGATTGTACTTTTTTTACACGATTAAGTTATTTTAGTGCGTCAGCCTGAAGTTAAGCGGAATATTCATCAATCTTATAAATATGGAGATTTACCTTACTTGATCATATTTAAACAAAATATTTAATCACTGCCTTTGTTAGATTGTGTGAAAACACACTTCTATTTTGTTTAAGTGTTGTTAACAACATCTGATTCCTGATTTCATCAACTCATCTTTTTATTTACTAAACATATTAATGCACTGAGGAATTAAGTGCTAATTGTCACATGAAATGTTCTTGGGATTTCACTTTAAAAAAGATCTCACAAGTTGTTGCAGATAGCATTGCAGATGAACAGAGCCATGGCAGTACTGGGTATTGCTGTTGTTGAACATACTGCCAAAAGAAACAGTACTGGGCATTGGCTAAGAAACAGCCAAAAGATCTGAAGCCTTCCAAACACCCTTTTCCAAACACTAACATCCCATCCATAGAATACGGACTCGGTTCCAGACACTAGAACCAGGCAAGTTCTTTTCTTTATAAGCACTTGGATATTAACCATCTAAAATAGATTGAATATATCCTTGTAACAATTTTGGTTATCTCTGGACTTTCTGTTTTTAGGAAAAACGATCTATGTTGTTGGATTCGTGAGAAGATATGAATAGTAATATTTGTTTTCAGTTAAAAAAAAAAAGAAGTATAGATTGAAGGGGCCAAATATCTCCATATCTCAGAAACCTTTCACAATGGTGCAAAAACAGTGTTTGAGAGGAGAGAGAGATATAAGGGCTATTTCTATTCAACAGCCATGGATCCCTTCAAAGGTTGATTTCTGTGCCATTGCCAATTTTCCAGGCATATCCCATCTTGATCAGGGATTGGGTCTCTCTATGGCTTCTCCAAAGATAGCTATTAGGGTTATTCCCTATTCATCACTAACCCAATGACTCATTCTCTCTTTTGTGGTTCTTTTGATGTATCAAAAGGCTGTCATCATACTCTACAGATCACTGCACATACCTTTATCCACAAGAAACATATGCATAACATTAACATGATGCGGAATAGCCAACTTTATATTTAAAAAAAAGAGAAAGGGCACCTGGATTTAATGAAATTGATTGATGATCAGTTGGCATGAAGCTCTAGCATAGTTAATGAGCAGGTCTTTAACCTTGAGACTATTCACGTCACACTCCCGGTTATAAACGAAGAAGGAACAAGATTGAGGACGACGCAGAATGCATTTCCGCTCTCAAGAAATTAATTCTTGATCAAGAAGTCATTGATGAGGACATGAGGCGGGGCATGATGATGATGACGATGATGGTGAGGTAGCCATAATAAAAGACTGGTTCTCAAATTTCATTTATGTGGTTGGCAAAGTTGCCTGGTCGCTACCCAAGGCGGACGAGGAGTGGACTTGTCCAAGCTGTAAGGAAATACTAGGACTCGAAGAGACATGGAGCGCGATGCGTTGCTGCTCTAAACTTTTCCACAGCGATTGCATCTCGCCGTGGGTCAAACGTGGCAAGACTTGCCCGTGGTGCCGTTCCTCCCTGCCCCTCGTGCCTCAGTCTTCAAAGGGCCTTATTCGGCGACAAGAGTCGGAGTATTTTACCTGTCCAATTCTTCCTGGGTTTTGTGGGTACTTGGTGAGAATGTGGTATCTTTTGGCTGGAAAGTCTAGATGGAGCAAGGAGAAATTACATCCTATGAACTGTGAGTGTGGTGGTTGTGTCACACCAGTGGATGAACTAATACTAGTGTAGGCTATCATTTTGTTTGTTTTCTTTTTTGGAAATTCGATTGGATTATTAGATTTTGAGTGCCTTTATGTTTAAGATTATAATACTCTTTATTAAATGCTAGAATGTGATTTAGGTACTATAAATATGTCAAGAGGAATCTGTTACTTTGTCATCAACAAGACATTGTTTTGTGCTTTGTTTAGCCATAGCCACTCATGTGGTCGTACCTTTCAGTCGAGTCACTTCGTACCTCTTTCGTCATCATGGCAAATGAGTCTCCTGACAACCTCAAGACCTATTGGTCTTGTGAGGGATGACATCCACGTGAGGAGAATATTTCGATCAAGGATACTCTGTGTGTGAAGACAGGGGTAGTTTCGGATGTTGAAAGAAAACTATTCCTATTTGGAGAATTTAAGTTTTAGACTCCTATTTAGGTATGTTTGTTATATTTTAGTCCTATTTGGGTTTTTTTCCATAATAAGAAGACTAATCTTCTTAAACATTCAATATTAAACTCTTTCAAGAGTAGTTTTGAAAAGAAAAAAAACTCTTTTAAGAGTAAGAATTAATACAATAAAAGTTATGATAGAGGTTTGTTACATTGTTTAATTGTTTAACAAGGCTATTCACTCAAAAAGGCTCAAATTGAGTGACTTAAGCACTTGAGAATGGGGGGCATATTGGTGTCAATTGTTCTTTGAAATACGCGAAATACTGAAGTGTAAGGTTTATTTTTACAGGCGCAAAAAGACGAGTAAACCGTTAGACGAAAATCTAACTCAAAAGTGGACGACTAAATCTCAAAATAGAAAGTTGACAATTTAAGAGCTAAAATGGGTTTGACCTGTACCGAGTATTTGTTACACACAGATTTGATTATACAACAAAGCACTCAAACAACATCTAAACACTAGTTTTTCATGGTTTTAATGAACAAACTTTGGAAAGTGGCACAAAACAAAAGAAGCAAACTGTAATTTCATCATCATCATCTACCTTCAGACTTGATAAGCTGGGAGAAAACTCTACTCATGGAGACGCCCGAAATGTCGTCCAAGTTTTCAGTCGAGTCGAGCTGCGCGTGGCTGATGTCATCCACCTGCGGGGAGAGCGAGAGGTCCCCAATGAGGTTGGTACTGTTCTCGTCCGGGTCGTTCGGGACGACCGCTTCTTGGAGTTGAAGGGCATACTCCAAGTTCCAAAGCACGTCTCCCATCGACGGCCGGTCCACCCCGAAATCCGCCAAGCATTTCTCCCCCGTCTCCCCGAATTTCCTTAGGGAGTCGGGCCGTATCCACCCCACGAGCCTCGGGTCGATGATTTGTTCGAGTTGGCCCTTCTTTTGCCACTTCATAACCCATTCGGCCAAGTTCACCTTGTCCCTCGGGAGGGACGGGTCGATCACGGGCCTAGCGCAAAGCACCTCGAAGAGGACCACGCCGAAAGAGTAGACGTCGGATTTCTCGGTGAGTTGTTGCCGTCTGAAGTACTCGGGGTCGAGGTACCCGAAGCTCCCCTTCACGGCCGTGCTCACGTGGGTTTGGTCAATCTCGGGGCCCGTCTTGGAGAGCCCGAAGTCGGCGACTTTGGCCATGAAGTTCTCGTCGAGTAATATGTTAGCAGACTTGACGTCCCGATGTATGACCGCCTTAGCGTAACCGGTGTGGAGGTAGTGCAACCCGCGGGCCGCACCAATGCATATCTCGAGCCGTTGCTTCCAGCTCATGCTCGGAAGGTCGGAGCCGTAGAGATGGCTCTTGAGGGTCCCGTTCTCCATGTACTCGTAGACGAGAATCATCTCATTCCTCTCGTCGCAATATCCGATCAACGAGACCAAATGGCGGTGCCGGAATTGGGATAGCATCTCGATCTCCGTCCTGAACTCCGCCATGCCTTGTTGGGATTTGGGGTTGCCCCTCTTCACCGCCACCTTCGTCCCGTCGCTTAGTTCCCCCTTGTAGACCTTCCCGAACCCGCCCACCCCGATGACCCAACTCTCGTCAAAGTTGTTTGTTGCTTCTTGAACAGCCAGAAACGGGACCCGGTAACTCAGGTTGGAGCCCGCCACGCTCACGGTTGTCCCGTTCGAGTACTTGCTTCCCATCGTGTGGGACCCGGTCATAGACAACGGGATCCATGTCTTTGACTGCCCAAGACGGACCTGTTTCCTCCTCCGGTGAATGCAAAACAGAACACAAATCATGGCCAGAACAACCGGTACCCCTACGCCAAGTCCCACAATCATTCCCATGTTCTTAGAGCCAGATGTGGTGGATCCAGCCACGAGGTCCGCAATTCCAAGACTACCCTTGGAGTTGTTCATCTTCATGATCTCCAAACCATTTATGAATGCATCAGAGAAAGCACTCCGAGGAGAGGGTCCCACACTGATTCGAATCTTGTCTTTCTCAGCTGCCGGCGTAACGTAATCCATGTAATATGCAGTTGCCAGAGTGTCCCTCACTTTAGCCCCGGGGTCAAACTCGGGAGCAATGTTTGATGAATCAATGTAAATGTTAAACAGAAGCTGATTGGGGGACGGACTCACAATGTCGCAAAAGTGTAAACGGAGAAGGTATTGGAAGCCGGTGTCAATGCTGAACTCCCAAGTGACATTGAAATTGGAAGTGGTGTCCCCTTCATCCACCCTCATCTTAGTGCATGTACCATACACCGTCGCAGGTGCAGACTCAGGGGTCGCTCCTTGATCGGGATAAATGACCGATTTAACCTTGGAGAGATTCATGGCAAGATCCGGTTTCAACAAGAAAACTTCGTCGTTGACCCAATTCCTCCACAATGTGTCATTACGCGACGTCAAAGGAGATCCACCCATGTTTACCCTCTCAACAGTCTCAAGTGCCTGGGAATCAAGATCACGGAACGTCCCAACCGGATCAATGGTTGTGACATCACCAGTTATGAGATCATTAGGTACAGAGACAACCTCAAGGGCACTCACATAAGCAAATGAATTAGGGGAAGGTGTGAATGTTATCACAATCTCACTAGACGCCACATTTACGGAAAACTCCCTGAACGAACGGCTTTTCGGATTGAAACTGGTAAGGAGGACATGGGTTTGGGTCGAAACCGAGAAACTAGCCGAGCTCATGTTATACTTGTTGTACATAAAGGGGTAAAAATAGAGACGGATCCAGTGGCGTCCAGGCTGGCTGATGGAGAACTTGTAGCTTGAAGTTCCAGTGAAGATTCGTGCCGTCCCATAGAGAGGGGAATCATCAGATGCTGGAATTGGGGACGAAGGAGGAGCATTGGCCAATATGTGTTCTGGGGTTGAGAGGGATTTTGAAGCTGATTGATCAGATTTGAAAACCCTACTGCCCAATTTGGCATCACTGGATGATCCACAGTTTAACAGGTAATTATCTGCAGGAACAAAATCAGACCCTAATTGCTTCAAGAGGAAGAACACCGACAAAACCCATATCAGCAGCAACTCAAACCCCAAATCCTTCTTCATCACAACAAACCACACACAAAAAATGGATCTTGGGAGGTAAAGTTGAGATCTTTGGGGCTAAATTCGATCTGGGCATCAACTGTTTTGACTCAAAATCAATGAAATAAGGGAAAAGATTGCACCTTTATAATCACAGAGTCAAATCAGAAGAGATGTTCGGGAGCTGGGAATCACTGCAAACATCTAGCAATGTTAGAACCAGAAAACAGTCACCGTAAAATTCGGGCAGCTGATTGAATGAATTTTTAACAAATACTCCGTAAATCTTTGCTCAAGATATTGATTAAAAAAAATCAAAGAAATGAAACTAGTTGATTAAGGTGGACTGCGCACACATAGCTGACAGCTATATACACTCAATATATGAGAATTTCAAAGAAATCTGACTTTTTATTATTATTATTATGCGGCTGAAACGCGGAGAAGAAGACCACATGTATAGAGATAAAATTTCGCTCACTCGAACTGCCTGAATTTTTACTCCGGATGACTTCGGACTTCGGAGCGTTTATTTTCCACTGAAAATCTATTTATTCATAGTTTTAGCTAAAAATTAGCTAAAATTGAGAATAGCTCAACATATTAAATTTTTAAGCAAAATTTGCTCTGAAAAATACTAAAGTCATAAATAAAATTGTCACAAACACCGTAAATTTATAATTTTACATTAAATTTTTACTATTTAAATTATTTTAAACTATTATTTTATTCTTGAATTTTAATTCAGAAATAATAAATTTGTGATATTTGTAATCACTTCACGATCCAAGCATTTCTCTTCTATTTTATGAAATGCACTTTATACTTAGGGATAAATGAAATGAAATTATATGTGGCAATTCTGAGATATCAGTTCAACATAATTCAATACCAGTTTCAACTTTCAAGGTACAAATATGAATGAATACATGTGTGTCTAATGTTAAAATGTAACAAAATCCTTTGTTATTTGAAAAAAGAGTAATTTTCATCATTGGTCCTTTAGAATATGAAGTTTTCCATATTCAGTCATCTATTTGATCTTTCTTTTCTAGGTGTATTTCTATAAATAATACTTTTTAGACTTTATGCCATACCTGTGTTAATTTGAGAACAAAGGTGTAATTTGAGATTAATTTTATGACCAATGACGCATTTTGGTGTCGGTTAGACAAAAAACGCAACAATAATGGTTATGGATGTGAACTAAGGTGTCTTTCAAGGTAGGTCAAACTTGCTTTACCTGGTCCGGCCCATACCTCTAACCTGGTGCCTTTCTACGACCCAAATGTCTAATAAACCATTTTTGAAATTGACCCCAATGCCCGAAATATTTACATGTCTGGCCCTTAACTTACGTAACAACTAATTTATCCCTATCAGTTAAATTAAAAAATGAAATCCAACGGTTGTGTTTGCGATCCACTTGATTCCATCCTTTACAAATTACCAAGTTTCTGCATTGAGTACCCGAAGAACTTTGGGGCTAAAGTAGCGGGTAATGTGAACAGTATGTAACTGTGTAATGATAAAGAAAAGTTTGAAAATGATTTTTGTGTGAGGAACACAATTACGGAGTATATTAGAATAAGGAAATATAAATCACCTTAAATAGAACTAAAACATAGAGAAAAGTACCAAAATAGGACTTCCATGTTTTTTTTTCAAAATAGGACTTTGCACTGTGGTAATGTGACTTTGCCATGTTGTAATGTGGCAGTTTACATGTGCAAATTACTATACTTGTTTGGTAATGTATATGACCATTTATGGTAATGTAAGTTCTATTTCGGGATTAAAAACATGGAAGTCCTATTTTGGTATATTTTCAATGTTTTAGTCCTACTTTGGTCTTTCTCCCATTAGAAAAAGATACTCCCTCCGTCCGGAAATATTCTTCCCACTTTCCTTTTTGGTCCGTCCGGAAATATTCTTCCCATTTCCTTTTATAGTATACTTTTTAAGGATAAATATCAATAATATCCTTCTATTTTATCACAAATCTACTTTTTTAGTACTTTTTTAATAATAAAAGGAGATTTAAAAGTTTATAATATGTGCATTTTTTGAAAATTTTGCATTTTTTTACTATTCCTTAATAAGCGTGCCAAGTCAACACGGGAAGAATATTTCCAATGGGATGCCCACAAGAGATGCTAGGAGGAGAAAGAGTGAGATGTTGAAGGATGCTATTGTTGTAGGTGGGTGTTCATTATAGATGCCCAAGGAAGAAAAAGAGAAGAGGATGCTTCACATAGCACCGATGCTTGAGGGAGAAGGGATTCATGTATTCATTTCTTTAGTTTTGTGGTCTAATGATTATGTGCCATGTGTCATATATATTCAATTATTTTTATGGCAATTTTCTTTTATAATTCCAATAAATATTTTAAGTAATTTTTTTTTACAAATAGCAGCAAATTAGGATTTTTTCTTAAAAAATGGATTTACATCGAAATAGGTCGTTTTTAGATTTTTTTGATATTGATGGAGAACAAGAGTAGTTTTTTTCAATATAATATTTTTTCAAGTTTTGTATAATTAATACTCCGTAATTTATTATACAACTAAATACTTATAATTAACAAAAAATAAAATATAAATATATATTAGTTGACCTACTATATTAATTGAATAGATATTTGGGCATTCAAATGAGATGCTACCATTGAAAGAATAAGATGTTGAGAGAAATGCTAAAATAACATTTTTATAGTTGAGCCCACACTTGAGCATCTAATGGGGGATGTTGCCATTGTGGATGCTCTTAGGAGTACGATGTTTCCTAATTACTTCTCCCTATAATTAAAAGATTTTCTATTCCAAATATAGAAAATTAAGCTACGGAGGGAGGGCCTCTCTATGGCGGCGAAGTACGGATCCGGATTGGGCAGCAGAATCAGAATCTATTACGAAACTCGAGTTTTCACACAGGAGAAAGTCGACGGCGGCGGAGGTTCCTCCTTGAATGCAGCAGCAGCAGCAGCCCCGATCGCCGCCGCCTCAGCTCCAGGTACGCCACCATCATCATCAATTGTGTTCAAAGTGCACTGCATCATGAGATTAAGCGTGGCAGCAGGAGACCCCACGAGGGAGTTCCTGGAGGTGAAGGATTGGCGGGACACAAGGCACTCATCCATTGACCTTCCTTGCTCTACAGACGGATTATTTATTGATGATACCAATCATAATCAAATAATCTCTGAAGCCCTTACAGTCCTTAGGGTTCTTAAAGAATCCCACAAGTCCATCATCGACCAACTTCGCCAGGGGGCTGCTTCCCTGGGCTTAGCTCCTATCTTCATGGTAGAAATCTGCGAGGTGACGCATGCCACACTCCCAGTTATAAGGGAAGATGGAAAAAGATTCATTGAACAATGCGAGGAGGACGATGAAATTGTTGACCAGGACGAAGTCGTCCCCTTCCCTGATAATAACGAGGAGGAGAACAAAAAAGAACCTGATGATGCAGAATGTCTCAATGCTCTCAAGAGATTAATTTTGGACGTAGGAGACATTAATGAGGAGGATGAGGTAGCCATAGTTGATGATTGGACCAAAAAATTCATGGATATTGTTTACAGGGTAACTGATGAGGAGGAGAAAGCAGCAAAGGAGGAAAAGGAGGCAAAGGACGAAGAGGAGGAGAGGACTTGCCCCATCTGTATGAACATATTCGAACCAGACGAGAAGCGGAGTAAGATGATTTGCTGCCCTCAAGTTTTCCACTGCGATTGTATCTCGACGTGGCTCAAACGTGGCAAGACGTGCCCCTGGTGGCGTTCCTCTTTACCACTCGTGCTTCCGTCCGCAAAGGGCATTATTAAACGAAATGAATCAGAATATTTTGTTTGCCCTGTTCATCCTGGAGTTTCTCCATACTTGGTAGAACGTTCTGTATGGAGCAAGGAAATATTACATGCTCTCGGGTGTGAGTGTGGTTGTCTCTCACGCGTGCCTGATGTAATAGTAGTTTAGCATCAGTTTGTTTCAACTAGGTGGAGGCTATCGCTTCACTTTTTCAAAGTTGGGTTGGATTAGTAGATTTTGGGTTTTTTTTTATGTTAAACAATGTTATAATTTTTTAAATGGAAAACCATGATGCATATAAACATTAATTTGCCATCAACAAGACATTGCCTTTTGTGTTGTGTTCAGAAATGCTTGAAGTTTTTACTTGCAGGTGTAGCTTTTCTAAAGGAAATGGGCAAATCTTGGCCTAGTTGTAGCTTTTCACCTACAATTTATGCTGTTGAGTCGTTTTTATTTATCTTCTAGCCATTTTCTAATATATTAATGCTGAAAGGCATAAAGAATTTATCGTGCTTGAATGCGGTTATGGATGGAAAAGTATGAAGATAGAGAATGTGTTAATAATAGAGATTAACTGAAAAATGTCCTTTATCAACCGAAGCAACAAAATTGATCCACTTAATTACTCGTATGTCCCTTAAAAGAGCTAATAAGTGCACATTAATTTAAGACAAGAACATTGCCCTAGTGCCTCAAAGGCTCCGACCCATTGGGTCGGATGTATGCAGCATGAACCCAATGTTCAAAAGACGAGCATTGGAAATTGCATTGACTATGTGCTACTTCACTACTAAAAGATGTAGAGATATTTTAAAGAGCCATTTTGCTCTATTCCATCATACCCCAAAGTCAAAAATTAGTAAATCTTTGACTTCATCGGAGATGATGGAAATAGAGTAATAGACATAAGACAAGTATGGAAGGAAATTAAAAAACACCCAAAGACAACCTCACTTGGTGCAATACTTTTGCATGTTCTAATACAATGTACCAACTACCAAGTAAATTGAGGAGGATAAAAGTTTTGCTGTTTGTGATCACAAGTGTATCACCGTAACTAGAAAGTAATAAACTTCTCCCTTGAAGTCTTTAATTTCGACCAGTGAAATATATATACCCGACAGCATTTTTTTTGTAATTTTTTTCGTGTTAAAAATATAAATACTTTCTGGAATCTGGATGCATTAGTCATGTTTTACGTTTATCTTTAAATATTTATAATGTGCTTTGATTCTAGGCCACAAGTGACTTTAATACTCATAGTTAGGAAAGGGAAGGTACTATCAGGGGAGTTTGCCTTCTGAACGGAAATCTCGTGTACAAATTCAACACTCACATTTTATGTACTCACTCCATGCCAGAATCAGGTCACAAGGCAGAATTTGGGTGGGCACAAGAGTTAAGGATGTGAAAACTGTTTGTTGATATTTGTGTAAAGGAGAGAGATAATATGAATCTCGTATTTCTTCTCCTAAAGGTAATGAAACATAATTGATAAATTTAACATAATTTTGGGAGAATATCATTTTTAGTATTGTGAACTTAAGGCATACTTTTTTTACACCATTTTAAATTTGGCAAAATTTTATCACCATTTTTTGAACAACTGCTTTTGTGATATATTTGCCTTGGGAAGTTGGTTTCCCTCCAATCTTGACGTTTCAGACTTTCCTGAATTCTGAATCATGTGCTTCCAATCTGAAGGTTTACCAGCTGTTATTACAACTTGTTTGGCACTTGGCACACGTAAGATGGCTGCTAAAAATGCCCTTGTTCGCAAGTTGCCCAGTGTTGAAACACTAGGTTGTACAACAGTTATTTGCTCTGATAAAACGGGGACTTTGACTACCAATCAAATAGCTGTAGCTAAACTCGTTGCCATGGGTTCAAAGTCAAGTGCTCTGCGATCATTCAATGTGGAGGGGACTACGTATAACCCTTTTGATGGGAAAATACAAGATTGGCCTTCCCGTGAAATGGATTCCAACCTTCAGATGATCGCAAAGATTGCTGCTCTGTGCAATGATTCTGGTGTTGAAAAATCTGGGCTGCATTATGTTTGCTACTGGATTGCCAACTGAGGCAGCATTAAAGGTAAACTGTGGGCTCGTTCTTTTTAATCCAGAATTGGAATAGGATTATATGCTTTCTTTTATAAGGATTGGCATGTACTTCCCAGTTCCCATTATATTCTTAGTCTAGATCGACATATATCCATTGTGATGTGTACCTTATTTAGCATTTATTAAAACTTTTATAACACTGTGTTCACATTGATCAATTCCTTAAAAATAAACAAGTTTTGTTTCAAAATCTCGCTCTACCTATGGCGTGACGTTGGACCCTTATATCCTTCAAAGGATATTTTGTCGTTATCGTGGGCTTCTTTATTTTATTGAGGTTCTGGTTGAGAAGATGGGGCTACCTGTTGGACTGGATTCTAGTTCTTCTACAAGTCATGGTGATGCCTCATGTAAGTCAAAGGTGTTTTTTGGTTTAGCATTTTTTGGGGTGGTTTATATTTAATATTTCATTTTGGCACTAATTGAATGTCTCAAAGGTTGCTCGTCTGCATGGAACAATATTGAACGACGCATTGGTACTCTTGAATTTGACCGTGATAGGAAGTCCATGTCTGTTATTGTGAGCTCCAGCTCTGGGAAAAAGTCATTGTTCGTGAAGGTGTGTGCTGTATTGGAATCAGATTTTTTGAATTAGGGCCGCTATACCACATGATGCTTAAAACTAAGTGTGAAATCAATGAATAGTAAAGTGTTGTAAAATAAAAAAAATTATAGTTATAATTTGTTTAGAAAAGAGTAGAGTCGAGAGCCACTCATCCATTTCTTTTAAATGAAAGCTAAGTCTTTTTTGGTACAAATAAAAGGGAAATAAATATTTTTTATGGGATGGAGGGAGGGGCTACATCATATTTTACTGCAACTTAAGAGATAGTTCTTTCTTGTCTTCTTGAATCCGGTTTCATTTATTCTTATCAATGCAGGGTGCAGTTGAGAATTTGTTAGAAAGAAGTACTCATATGCAATTGATGGATGGTTCTGTTGTAGAACTTGATCACAATTCGAAAGATCTAATTTTGAAAAGCCTCATTGATATGTCCTCTAAAGCATTACGTGTCCTTGGTTTTGCATATAAGGACAATCCACCTCAATTTGAAACGTATAATGGCCATGAGGATCACCCTGGTCATGCTCTATTACTAGATCCCGCTAATTACCCTTCCATTGAGAGTAATCTTATATTTGCTGGAATGGCTGGGATAAGGGTGAGCAATGATTTCCCCCCCTCATAATCCAATATTTTCTCACTGATCAGTGATACAACATCTCACTGCTGTTGTTGTGAACCTGTGGTGACAGGACCCCCCTAGGCCAGAGGTACACCAAGCTATTGAGGATTGTAGAGAGGCAGGGATTCGCGTGATGGTAATTACAGGAGACAACAAGAATACAGCTGAAGCTATTTGCCGTGAGATTGGCGTTTTTGGATACAATGAGGATTTCAATTCTCGGAGCTTGACTGGAAAAGAGTTCATGGAACTTCGTGACCCAAAATCACATCTAAGACAAAATGGAGGGCTTTTGTTTTCTAGAGCAGAGCCAAGACACAAACAAGAGATAGTGAGACTGCTCAAAGAAGACGGTGAGGTGGTTGCAATGACCGGGGATGGAGTGAACGATGCACCTGCCTTAAAGCTGGCCGATATTGGGATTGCTATGGGAATTACTGGAACTGAGGTAAAAATGCAAATCAATTCTGTACTGGTACACTTAGATGATTCCTACACTCTAACTATTCATGCAAAATTATGCTGGAACAAACTTTCGAGTAATAAGTTTGTTTCCCTGTTGCTGCAAGATTTTTTTTGATGGAAAATGCAATGCAAACAGTACATATTCTTGCTCTTGATCTGTAGTTGTGTTGGATCCAAGTGTGTCCTAAATAATGTTTGTTCATGGTCTTACTGCCAAATCCTCTGTTTTTGACCAGGTAGCAAAGGAAGCATCCGACATGGTTTTGGCCGATGATAATTTCAGCACAATTGTGGCAGCTGTTGGTGAAGGCAGGTCCATTTACAACAACATGAAAGCCTTCATCAGGTCCATTTATTGCAACTTTTTCTTTCATTCTCTTGTGCTATGTTTTTGGTCATTGCTTTCTCTGAGTTCTGTTCGAATATTTGGTGATTATTGGTTTGACCTGCAATTTTAATGTAATACTTAATTTCTTCAACGACTTGTTTTGCTTACTTTTGGAGCTTTGACCTGGCCCATCTTAAATCTCTTACTGGTTTCCTCTTTGGGTCAACCTGGTTACTGATGGACCCCCGGCAACGGCATTGGGTTTCAATCCTCCAGACAAAGATATAATGAAGAAACCACCCAGGAGAAGTGAAGACTCACTCATCGATACCTGGATACTGTTCCGCTATCTGGTATGCATTTTTTTTAAAACTCTGGATGGATGGTTTTATATGGGAATACTCGGGAGGTTTTTTTCATCACAATTCCATGTAAAGGAACCCATTTTAAAATTAAAAATCAAATGCCTACAAATTTTAGTGAATCGTTTTTTGAACTCTGTAGTCTGTACTCCCAAACTTCCTAGTTATTGTTCTCACCTTCAAACAATATTTTCTTTATGCATTTTCATTAATTTTTTGTTAAAATAATAGTCAAGTAACCTCTTGTTCCGTAGAACTTTTGATGTACCCCATATTTTTTAAAAACATATATGAGTATTTGTTTGAATTCTACATCAATTATTTAATATATTGAATGGAATATAATACCAGTCAAACATTTTAAAGCGTAATGAGAAGTTTATTATGGGACTGAGCGAGTACCTTTTTTTTTTGCATCTCTTGACCCCTCGCTCACCTAGCCACACGCACTCACACTCTCTCTCCGCCTTTTATAAAACTTCACAGTTTGTCTGCTGTGGTTCTCAATGAGTTAAATGATGTTTGACTTCGAAAATTGCTCTTATAACATGTGGTTGAGAATAGTTATTGATTGTAAAGGATAGTAAAGCAAGACTCATGCTATGTTTAGACCAGGAGAGAAAATGGAAAGAGAGAAATTGAGAAGAAAATGAAGATAAGAGAAAATGGAAAGAAAATGATTATTGTTTGGAATTTGGATGAGTAGAAAATGTAGAGAAAAGGTGAAAAAAGAAAAAAAGAAGAAGAATAGAATGATGCTTTGTCCCATTTTCTTCCCTAATGTGGAGGGAAAAGTGTATATGTGGGCCCTGCCACTTAATAATAATAATAATAATAATAATAATAGTAATAATAATAATAATAATAATAAACAGCATGTCATGCCTCTGTTAAGCCTACGATGTTGCGATGGCCTGCTATGACGGGGCATGATGCCTCTTCATGTCCATGCGTCAGTCTCCATAACACATAGTCTAGTGTAAAATAAGAAAAGTGGACATTTAAAGTTAATTTAAGTAAAAAAATAAGAAAAGAGAACATTTAAAGTCAACATTCAACTTTTTTTTTAAAAAATGCTAGGTGTACACCAAAAGTGTACCCTAAATGTCCCCCACCCCCTCCTTATCCACTAAAAAGGTAAAAAAATTCAAAAAAAATAAGTAAATAAAAATCAAATAAAAATGTGGGGAGGAAAAGAGGTGGTGTACATTTGGGATATACCTTTGGTGTACCCCTAGCATTACTCTTTTTTTTTCTATCCCTAAAAAAAACAGACCCTAAATAGTTAAATGTTCTAAAAAAATTTATATAGCCAAAGTGGCTGATAAATGTAATAAAATGGTTATTCTATCAAATTTAATAAGGAGTAAATCTGTATTTATACATTCTAATTCGAAAATAATATAGGGTAATTTACATAATTTTAAGATATACTATCTCCGTCCTGCTATATTCGTCTACTTTTGACTTTTGAAACTGTTTATCTAAGCACTTTGACTCATCAAATTCTCTCAATGTGTAAGTCTAAATATAGTCATGTGATCTTGTTTGATTTGTCTTAACATATAGATTATTAATATATAATTTCTATAATTTTTTAATATACAAATTACAAGATAAAATGGATTAAAGAAGTGTATTGGATGGTGTGTAAAAATGAAAGTAGACAAATACTCTGGGACGGAGGGAGTATTCCGTAATACATCAAATGTTTTTAAGTTTAATTTATTTAAAAACAAATTGATTTATGACTTTTACTTTGTTGCGCAAATCGAAGAAAAATCTCAAATTTTTTCAATCAATTTTATTTAAATAATGATATAGAAATAAAAAATAAAACATACATATTTAAAAACTACATCAAAAGTTCAACAAAACAAGTGGTGACAAGAATATTTTATTTTATCATATAGGCCATGAAAAAACACAAATAAATATAAATTCCCATGAAGTTTGAATAGTGTTTTGGGAAGAAAGTTTTAGGATGGAGGGAATAACATTTTTTGACTAAGGGATTTTCACTGGCATATTTGGGCTGTGTGTTTTGGCGTGGATCTCAAAGGAGTCCGAAAAGACGCGATGTGTTAATTTAATTGGACGTGGTTGTCAAAGCGGTTTCGGGCAGAAAATCAAGGGGCAGTTCTCCCTTCTCCGTAAATAAATATTACTCCGTATTGCGTAAATAATAATGACATTGACCCTAGAGAGCCGTCCGTCCACCCAATTGCTTGTTAGGGTTTCTTTATCTCAGTTCTTCCTCCCTGTTCCTATATATCTCCTCCCTCTCCCCATCCTTGTCTACTCCGTCTGGTTCCTCCCCCACCCACCCACTCTCTCTCTATCACTTTATTTTTTTTTTTCATTTCTTTCAATCTTCTTCCTTACAGATCTCTCTCATTTTCTTGATTAGTTCTCCCCCCCTCAAAAATGAAATCGTGGGAAACATTTTCTTGATCTACAAATCTCTCTCCTTTTCTTGATTAGTTCTCCCCCCTCAAAAATGAAATCGTGGGAAACATCTTCTTGATTTGGGCACACTTTGAACAGAATGAAATCGTGGCACAACAATGAAATCAAGATCATCCAGGTAATCTAAAAAACCCTTTTTTTTCATTTTTTGGATTGTCCGGTCGATGGATCTTTCAGGCACTCTACTGCTTGAAAGATCCCAAAAAACATTTCTTTCCCAACTTTTTTCTTTATTATCCGGTCAAGGCGATTTTTCCGGCACTTGCCCGCCGGAAAGATCGCCGGAAATAATATTATTCCGTCAACCAGCGTAATCTCCAAGCCCAGCCCAGTCCGGAAGCCCAGCCCAGTCCCGAAAAGACCAGCCCAGTCCCGAAAAGCCCAGCACAATCCCGAAAAGCCCAGCCCAGTCCCGAAAAGCCCAGCCCAGTCCCAAGGCCAGCACAATCCCGAAGCCCAGCCCTGCTTTTCAAAAAATTTTAAATTTTCGGCGGGATTTGAAAGTAATTTGAATTTTTTAAAATTTTCAAAAACAAAGTAGCGGCAGTCTGAATTTTTTGAAAATCAAATGTCGGTCCATGCTGGCAGTCCTTGTGACTTTCAAGCAACCAATGACGTTTAAGCACAAAATTCTATAAATTGGCGCCTTTTTTGAAGTTTTAAAATCAGACCTTCCTTGAAAAGTTTTTGAAAGTGAAAATGAGCCATCATCAAAATAAGTTTCAGTTGTCTAAGATGAATCACACTAATCCTGAGTTTGTTAGTGCGATTCATCTTGTAATTTGTATATTAAAAAATTATAGAAATTATATATTAATAATCTATATGTTAAGACAAATCAAACAAGATCACATTACTATATTTAGGCTTACACATTGAGAGAATTTGATGAGTCAAAGTGCTTAGATAAACAGTTTCAAAAGTCAAAAGTTGACGAATATAGCGGGACGGAGATAGTATATCTTAAAATTATGTAAATTACCCTATATTATTTTCGAATTAGAATGTTTAAATACAGATTTACTCCTTATTTAATTTGATAGAATAACCATTTTATTACATTTATCAGCCACTTTGGCTATATAAATTTTTTAGAACGTTTAACTATTTAGGGTCTCTTTTTTTAGGGATAGAAAAAAAAAGTAATGCTAGGGGTACACCAAAGGTATATCCTAAATGTACACCACCTCTTTTCCTCCCCACATTTTTATTTGATTTTTATTTACTTATTTTTTTTGAATTTTTTTACCTTTTTAGTGGATAAGGAGGGGGTGGGGACATTTAGGGTACACTTTTGGTGTACACCTAGCATTTTTTTTAAAAAGAGTTGAATGTTGACTTTAAATGTTCTCTTTTCTTATTTTTTTTACTTAAATTAACTTTAAATGTCCACTTTTCTTATTTTACACTAGACTATGTGTTATGAAGACTGACCCATGGACATGAAGAGGCATCATGCCCCGTCATAGCGGGCCATCGCAACATCGTAGGCTTGACAGAGGCATGACGTGCTGTTCATGACTTCATCGGAGATGATGGAAATAGACATAAGACAACAATGGAAGGAAATTAAAAAAACACCCAAAGCCAACCTCACTTGGTGCAATACTTTTGCATGTTCTAATACAATGTACCAACTACCAAGTAAATTGAGGAGGATAATAGTTTTCCTGTTTGTGATCACAAGTGTATCAACGTAACTAGAAAGTAATAAACTTTCTCCCTTGAAGTCTTGATCTTCGACCAGTAAAATATATATACCCGACAACAAAAACTTATTTTTGTGTAATTTTTTTCGTGTTAAAAATAAAAATGCTTTCTGGAATCTGGATGCATTAGTCATGTTTTGCGTTTATCTTTAAATATTTATAATGTGCTTTGATTCTAGGCCACAAGTGACTTTTATACTCAATAGTAAGGAAAGGGAAGGTACTATCAGGGGAGTTTGCCTTCTGAACGGAAATCTCGTGTACAAATTTAACACTCACATTTTATGTACTCACTCCGTGCCAGAATCAGGTCACAATGCAGAATCTGGGTGGGCACAAGAGTTAAGGATGTGAAAACTGTTTGTTGATATTTGTGTAGAGAGAGATAATATGAATCTTGTATTTCTTCTCCTAAAGGTAATGAAACGTAATTGAAAAATTTAACATAATTTTGGGAGAATATCATTTTAAGTATTTGGCAAAATTTGGCAAAATTTTATCACCATTTTTTTACACCATTTTAAATTTGGCAAAATTTTATCACCATTTTTTGAACAACTGCTTTTGTGATATATTTGCCTTGGGAAGTTGGTTTCCCTCCAATCTTGACGTTTCAGACTTTTCTGAATTCTGAATCATGTGCTTCCATTATATCTTCTTGCACAACCTGCTGACCTTCATATTATGGATTGATACAGAATTGCAGTAACAACAATTGGATGCCTACCTGATCATAAGTAGATTAGATATACTCTCTCAAAGTCTTTAAGATATAATGTCATCTGTATTGGGTTTAGGGACTTAAGGGAGAAGTCTTAAAGGTAATTAGGAAGAGCAATCCCCAACTCCATTACAGTTCTCCTCTTGGGTTTCAGGTTAGTGGTTTTGTTGGCCACTGTTGAGCTAAAAGACTCCTTTCTAATAGATAATATATGTAAAATTTTCCTAGATGAATTATTGTTATTATTTTTTTTGAACAAAGCACAAAATATATTACCACCCAAATATCACCAACCAGTACATAGGAAATCACAAATGCAAAACAGCCAAACAGAGAACACTAGCCACACTACAGCCACCCCTAAAAACATAATAGCTACTTATTAATGGAGATGAAATTAATCTGTTCAACAATAGCCTTCAACGTGCTCTCCTTGGTCATCTCTTTGTTGTGCTGCTTTGCGTTCCTAGCTTTGCAAATGTAATAGCAACAAATGGCAATTGGCAATGCAAGCAGCAATGAAGCATCTATCTTTCATGTTCTTCCCTTCTTTTGGTTTCTGTCCCAATTCAGCTATAGAACAAGAAGTAAGGTCAAACTGAATAAAACCAGAGACATTAAGGAAAATGTCTACTGCAAAAGGGCAACTGCAAAATAGGTGATCCACTGTCTCCTTTTCCTTGGTGCACATTATACAGGTAGGATCAATTGGCAACAAACCACTCAATCTGTCCTTTGTCAGTAACTTACCTCTCCATATCAACCAAGCAATGAATTGATGTTTAGGAACAGAGGTTTTATTCCATACCAACTCAGCCCATTCAACTCTTGATTGGTTTCCAGCCAGCCATTTGTAACCTTCTTTCACTGTGTACTCACTTGAACATGGCATCCCAGCAAATTCTTTTCTGACCAACATCATCTTCTTCCAATAATAGCAATCATCAGGTTTATTTTCATATGACCATATGGATTTATTCTTCAGGTATCTACTGTGTACCCATTTAACCCACAGTATATCTTTCTTAGATGCAATATCCCAAATTAATTTCATAATACAAGCCTTATTCCATACCTGCAGATTCTTCAAGCCCAGTCCTCCTTCACATTTGGATCTGCAGACTTCTTCCCATTTGACCAGAGGGGGTTTCTTATATTCTGAAGAGGAGCTCCAAAGAAAATTCCTACATACAGCCATGACCTTCTGCATAACCTTACAAGGCAGCACGAAAATTCTACACCAAAAGGAAATCACCCCATAAAGAACAGAATTGATCAGCCTCACTCTCCCTGCATAGGAAATATGTCTAGTTGCCCAGGAGGACACTTTCAAAGTAATCTTTTCAACCAACAGATCACATTCTTTATCACTCAGACGAGCATCTACTTTGTATTGTTATTATTATTGTTGTTGTTGTTGTTGTTGTTGTTTTAAAGCATTACTTCATCAATCCTTAAATTAAAGTCTCGCTTTAACTTCATGGAGATGAAGAAAGTTGTTGAAGAACAAAAAGTTTGCGGATAGAATTTGGTCAGAGCAAAGAGAAATGTTGCAGACCAGATATTCATTTCCTTTTATGGAATGAAGAGAAGTGAGATTATTTTTGGACAGATGGAAAAGGGAAAGTTTATTTGGAGACAGGGAGTATTATTCACTACTGAGTATATATGGTGGGAAAATCAAATCACTGACTCATTCCGTGCATGTAAATTGGTTCTTTTTGGTTCTTTTTCTCCGTATAAAAGACAGCCATCACTCTACCAATCACTGCACACCTTTAGCCTCTAGAAACATGCCCATAGCATAGTTGGCAATAGCTTTTGCATTACAGTCTTAATCTACATTTTTTTGCCAGCCCTTGAGATAAGTCTGTTCCTCCCGGAGTTGAAGTGCTAGCCAACTTTATCATTAAGAAAAGTGAAAAACCTCTACGATCAATGATGGAATGAAGACCAAGATAGGTTCCATGGTCTATGCAAACAGTAACATTTAGGAGCCTGCATATGGTTTGATTAATTTCAGGGCCAGCAGTGTAAGGTCTGAAGCACACCCCACCTGGATTTATTGAAATTGATCAGCTGCCTCGAAGCTCTAGCATAGGTAATGAGCAGGTCTTTAACCTTGATACTCTTCACTGATTCACTCAGATTTTGGGACATAATCATAATCTGGATAGTAATCATAATGAGCAGCTCTACTTTTATTTACTACACTACACTCCCTCCTCCCTATATCTGTATCCCCGGTTTTGTTTAGATGGCCGTCCACTATCTTCCAATTTGAGGAAATGGAAACCAAATAAAGAATAAATGACTCTTTAGAAATGTGATAAGCTTCACCATGGAAGGGAAATTTTTAGATCATTTTGTTCAATAAATGAAACTTGTGCTTGTAATCTCCTCTTATGGAAATTGAGCCTATTTCATATGGAACCACCTTTTGGTGAGAATAAAAAAAATTGTTCACCACTGGAATTTATAAATCTAAACACCTCCACATATCGTTGAATATTTTCAGAGATTTCTTCCTAAACCATTTTCTCCTAGAGGCAATATTGCAAGTAGAGACTTGTGCCAGGAATTGCTAATGAATTCTGGCGAAGGTGGAAGAAGAGACTTGTAGCATGGAATGTTACTGAAGTTGAGATTTGAATCATTTGATTGCTGTGTTTTGTAGATCAGTTCTGCGAACAATTAAATTAGTTTGATGTGCTGTATGTTGTTGAGTTATTTTTGGTGTTCATTAACTCACCCCTTAATTGGTGTTTAGTGGACATACCAAACTAGATAGAATGCTTATGGTGCTGATTGAGGTTTTTTTTAATGGCAGTCACTGGGTGTACAGCCCTCAGTTGTTTTGAACTATGATGTTCTTCATTTCCCTTGTTTGGGTGTATAATAGTTTGAGTTATTTTGTTGCAGAACCAATCTGTCCCTAGTATATTAGTTCTGTTGTATTTTGTCACGGTTCCCATGACATTACCTGGCAATGTCATGGGATGAGTAGTTTAATTTTTTGGATTTGGGTAAACAGACACGATGGAACACAGAAGAGACCCCATTTCAATTGATCATAGTAGGCATGACATCTCTAACTCCTACATGTTTCAAAGCCGAAATATCTCTTCCTTCCAAGATTGATTTTATTCTTCTTTTAGCTATGCTTTGGTTATGCACGCTCTGAGTGCCAAAATCATTTTTAGTTTAAAAGGACAATACTTCAATCGACGATTCCATGTGAAGCTACCTTCCATCCTTGCAAACAATCATTTTGTAAATGAGGCATTTCATAAAGCGTGTGAGAAGAAAGCAAGAGCATTATACACACTCTTGCATCTCTCTTGAAGCTCCACCCAAACTTGGTTGATTATGTCTTTAAACTAATCATTATTTTGGATGTTTATATCATTCATATAAACTTATTACTTTGTATTACTGTGTATTGTTTGAGTTCAATTGTTTAAAGGTTTCATATGGAGTATTTAATACACACGGAGCATCTTTTTTATTTTTTATTATCAATATTTTGTCTTTTTTTATTTCTGGATATTTTTTTGCTACCCAGTTCAAGATTGCATACATTAATAACACCTTAAGCTTGATTCTCATGAGGTAATATCTTTTGGGTGGGCAGGGGTACTTTTCTGGATTACTATGGTAAGGGGACTCTGAATGAGGAAACTAAGTCAAATTCTTTCCAATTGGTGATTGGGATAACAACCCAGTTTTTTCTTTTAAAATAATTTTTTAAGTTATTACTTCCTCCGTCCCAAATTATAATCTTTGTTCACTATTCACATGATCAAACTTCATTCACCTACTTTCTCAATTTTCGTTAGCAATTTGATAAAATAAAGTACTATTGTCATTACGAGTTTTATAGATCTTTTGATGTAGTATTTTAATATGTAATTTTTATTTTTTAACTATATACCATTTGACGTTTAAAATGATTTGAAAATAATTTCAGTCAAACATCGTAAACCAAAACAGGTGTTATAAAATGGGACGGAGGGAGTACTATTTTTCACACTAAAATTTATGGACACTGTGTTATATTTCAAGTTTCAATTCAATCTCATGCATATTTTGTTGCCCCTAAGCCTGGGCTAACACATACGGAGTATATTTTTTAAAAAAATAAATACTCCATATTAGAGTACCAGACAAACAGTTTAATTACACCGCTTGATTATTGGGAAGCAGTTGTTGATCTCATGCAAAAATTGAAAAGTACTCCCTCCGTCCCACTATATTTGTCCACTTTCATTTTTGCACACCATTCAATGCACTTCTTTAATCCATTTTATCTTGTAATTTATATATTAAAAAATTATAGAAATTATATATTAATAATCTATATGTTAAGACAAATCAAACAAGATCACAGATGACTATATTTAGGTTTACACATTGAGAGAATTTGATGAGTCAAAGTGCTTAGATGAACAGTTCCAAAAGTCAAAAGTGGACAAATATAGCGGGACGGAGGTAGTACATTATTTGAACTTGGAGTTTCAAAAAAAGTAAGCAATCACCATGTTACTTGATTTTCCTGAGCCGAAAAATGACATTCTCTCTATCCATTAATTAATTTTCTTCTTTAATTTTACAAGAGAATTAATAAAGAATATAATATGTTGATTTTTCATATTTGTCCTTAGTTAATGGAAAAAAGTGAAATAAATGTAGGGATAGCAGGATAAGTAGTAATTAGTACTCCGTATGAGTGTGATGGTAGTAAAATAGGAAAAGATGACATTTAAATTTAACTTAAGTTAAAAAAATAAGAAAAGAGAATATTTAAACTCAACATTCAACTTTTTTTTTCTATCCCTAAAAAAAGACACCCTAGATAGTTAAATGTTCTAAAAAAATTTATATAGCCAAAGTGGCAAACTTGTTCGAAGGTAAACCAAATTTTATTAAACTACATAATATAATTTACTTAATTTTAAGATATAATACATCAAATGTTTTTAAGTTTAATCTTACTATATACAATGGTAGGATGTGTTTTTCTACATTATTTCCGCCCATTTCATATGTTACAGTACCCGTGAGATTTGGATCGCAAATTCAGATAAGATAGAAAGCTTCATGCGTACACCACATGTAGAGAGAGAGAGAGAGCGTATGGAGTAAGAGCATGGGCAGTGGCGTGTCAAAGCCACTGCCACGCATGCCACTTCATCAAATTTCCTCTTTTTCCATGGCAAGGCATAGCAAGGCACCTTGCAAGCCATGGCAAGTGCGAGCCATCTTTTCTTTTTTTTTTGTTTATTTTTTTTGTAAAAGAAAGAAGTTTTTTTATTTTATTTTTTTAGAGGCAAGCAAAGGGGATTGGAGGCATTGTTTTCCATTTCTAATTTTTTTTATTTTTTTCTGCTTTCCAACCTAACTCTTTAAAAATAACTTAACCCTTTTTTAGTTGTCTTTCTTTTTTTCTTTACAATCTATTTTCTTTTTCAAAACAATCTAACCTTTATTTGAGACTTAAAAATATTCATTTTTAAACATTAATATTTTATGTGAAATTATATAATTTAATTTAAAAAATTAATATTCTCTTTGTACAATTAAAATCTTTACAAGAAAATGCAATAATTTATAATAAAAAAACACACATGGACTAATTAAAATATGTCAAAATGTTAACATTTCCAAAAAAAGATTACAATTATTTTTATTAAAAAAGGTAAGTAAAATAATTTTTAATTATTAAAATATATTAAAAAGGTGTAAAAAATGATAAAAAGAGTGACTTGCCACTGCAAGACATGCCACTCCACTCATGTACTACACGCTGACTGTATTTTTTTTTTATTGGCTAAAATACCACCCGTCATCGTGTGACATTCAATTTCTTACTTGCCATTGCTGCCCATGCTCTAAGGGGTTTACACCGATACAAGTGTTTGTGCGTTAACAAAAATTTACACGGACACAAAGTGTTGGTGCATTAACAAAAATTAGTTTTACACCAACACAAAGTGTCGGTGCAAACCTGCGGGTACAAAGTACAAAAGTGGGGTACAAATAACTTTATCCATGCTCTAACAAGATCCAGCTGTTCTTTTTTCTCTTTCTTTGCAGCCGCATCACCGTCTTCTATCAGACGTGCGCTGAGGTCGACGATCGCCGTCCAATTACAATCAGCAATACGGCTTAGCTGGAGAGAGAGCATACCGCATCGAGTAAGTAGCCACGCTGCCGTAAGATCTAGGGTTCCAGGTTTTGAAGTTTTCTTTCTCCTGCTTTAAATTGGGAGACGATATTGTATCAATTCGTTTCCCAAACAGATGAAGCAGAGTAGGCCTCTAAAATCCTCACCTAGATAGCCATTCCTCTTGCGATTGTGGTTCATTTTTTGTTGTTTCCAGGTGCTATGGAATCATCTTCACAATGCCTTCCAATATCCCAGCACTTCCATGGTGGACCGTTGCTGAGTTCGGCTGAATTTGAAGGAATTCAGCCTCGCGGTTACTGTTCACTTGAGATACTCCAGGTTTGTATTCAACTCTGTTTTGAATATTTTGGTTGAAATTTTTTGATGGATTGTGAGCAAGCGATGCTCTTTCAGAATGAAAAAACAAAAACATGTAGACCTATACCAATTCTGACAGAAGTGCAGATCGAGAGACCTAAAAAAATTATGATTTCATCAGCAAATGCATATATAGGACATATAAATGTTATTCGATTATAATCGAGTAATACACACATAGGAATGAAACGAAAACACTGAAATTACCACTTCTCTGGTCTCAATTTTTGGTTCAACATCAAATCCAATCAAATTGGCCACACGCAAATTCTGCTCTTTCTCATTTTCAAGCTCCAAGTGAGACACCCCATGTAATTGACCATAGGGTGGCACTTTCAGTTGATGCAATCAACTGCAAATCTTTCTGGCTGAAGTTTTAATTGAAACTTTCTTAGAGAGAAAAAAGTTTGAGCCATGCATAAGCATGATAGAGATGACTCGATGATATCCAAAAGATTTCGGTAAGCTTAGCATAGTAGACAGCCAACAGAGATGTTTTAGGGGTTTTCTTAACAATGCACATCAGTCCATAAATGTCTTGGACGGAACGAAAAGCTTCCTGCAAAATGGTAATGTGTACTGATTATAAAACAAAGTTTTTTTTCACTGCTTCATATTCTAACAACTTGGCTTAGAGAATAATGTGCAATGATGATTTTAGTATTTAGTTCAATATAATAATGACATTGACGGGAGAGCTGTCCGTCCACCCAATTGCTTGTTAGGGTTTCTTTATCTCAGTTCTTCCTCCCCGTTCCTATATATCTCCTTCCTCTCTCCATCTTAGTCTCCTCCGTCTGGTTCTTCCCCCACCCACCCACTCTCTCTCTATCACTTTATTTTTTTTCATTTCTTTCATCTTCTTCGTAACAGATATCTCTCCTTTTCTTGATTTGTTCTCCCCCCAATCTCATTTTCTTTATCTGGGTTACTCTTTGAAACATCAATCCCTTTTCTTAGGGAAACCAGAATGATATCGTGGGAAACAAAAATGAAATCAAGATCATCCAGGTATATAAAAACTTTTTTTTTCATTCTTTTTTTTTGATTTTCCAGTCGATGGATTTTTCCGGCACTCTCCTGCGGGAAAGATCCTTGAAAAACATTTTTTTTAATTTTTTTCTTTATTTTCCGGTCAACGGCGATTTTTCTGGCATTTGCCCGCCGGAAAGAGTGCCGGGAAGATTATTCTTCCGGCAACCAGCCCAAATACCGAAGCCCAGCCCAAATCCCAAAGCCCAGCCTATTACTGGAATGGTGTTTTTCAAAAATTCTAAAATTTCCCAATTGTATGGGCGGGATTTGGAAATGGTTTGCACTTTTTGAAAAATTTCAAAAACACAGGAGCGGGAATCTAAAAAAATTTGAAAATCCAATTTCTTTCACGCTGGCAGTCCTTGTGCCTTTCAACTGGCCAATCACGTTTCAGCACGCAAATCTATAAATAGGCGCCATTTTTTTGATATTTTAAAATCACAGTCATTCCTTGAAAAGCTTCTGAAATTTGAATATGAGTTATCATTAAATCAATAAGTTTCAAATGGGTTAGATGAATCGGAATAATAAGCAGAGAATGATGGACCGTTCTCCCCCATGTGTTCCCTAACTGACTCATGTACTGCTTAACATCATGTAATTCTCTTTGAAATTCAGATCTCAATTCAGTTTTAATGCTAGGCAGTTCATTCATTAAATCAGATATAGTTTTAGTCAAATCCCCTAACATTTTTTCTAAGGAAGAATTATTCTCATTAGATCTAGCATGTGGTGGAACATAAGTCTGAGAATTACTTCCTTGATTTCTCCAATTACCTCCACTATTATTCCTATTATTATTTGGGCCATCATTTCTCCAATTATTACCAAAGTTTCTTTGATTATTAAAATTATTATTTCGATTACTTTGGTATTGATTATTCTGATTAGCCCATGGTCCTTCATTCTTACGAGCATATTCCATAAGATTAACATCATGAGAATTAAAATCATCATAAGGACAAGTAGATGTTAAGTGAGAACCCATGCAATTTTCGCAAGAAAGGACCAATTCAGAAGATTGTGAATGAGGGGCATAAGAATTGTAAGAAACAGAATTTACACTACCCCTAAATGGTGGAACTTGATTCTTCTCTAGGTTTTTAATTTTAACGTTCAATGCCTCAATCTGTGCTCTAAGCGCAGTTGCTTCATCAACTTCAATCCTTCCTTGAGAAGAAGAAACTGGGGCACGATCATCATACCAATAACGAGAATTTGAAGTCACTTTATTGATCAATGCCTCATTTTCTTCGGTTGCCATCTCAAGGAAAGAACCACCCGGAGAAGAATAATCAAGTTCCTTTTTACTATCAATGTTTAAGCCATTATAAAAATGGAACATTAAACTAAAGGAATCAATCAACGTGGGAGGACATTTAGTTCTTAATTCTTTAAAACGTTCCCATGCTTCATGAAGAGATTCTCCACTACCTTGGCGAAACTGCTGGATTGACATACGAAGTCGAGCAGCTGCCGAGGGTGGGAAATACTCGTTCATGAAGGCCTTATGTAAATCATCCCAATTAGAAAAATGATCCGCAGGAAAATTATTTAACCACCGTGCAGCTCTATCTCGAAGGGAAAATGGAAAAAGAGTAAGCCGTACGGCATCTTTGTCTACCCCATTAATTTTAAAAGTAGAACATGTACGGGTAAACCAAAGAATATGAGCCCTAGGGTCTTCATGTTTCATCCCACCAAATTGATTACTAGAAATTATTTGTATGATGGCAGGTTTTATTTCAAAAGATGCGGCTGTAATGGCTGGAGTGCCAATACAGTCATTTTCTTCAAAAACAGGAATCATAGTATCCAAAACAGTGCGTCTAACTCTATTCTCCTCCCCCATTTCTGAATTATTTAAATTATTTTGAAAAAGATTTTGATTTCTTTGAAAATTTATATTACGATTAGATCTCAAAAGCCTTTCAGGATCTTCACAAAATTGTAAAATTTCTCCAGCACTAGAAGAACGGGTATGCATAAAAAAGTAAGTAATTAAAATTTATTTTTATTTTATTTTATTTTTTTTATTAATTATTATTAGAATATTATTATTATTATTATTTTTATTAACAACTAATTAACAAACGAAAACCGTGCCAATCCCCGGCAACGGCGCCAATTGACGAAGCTAAAATATAGCGGTAAGTCAATAAATTTGACCGAGACTAACTCGGGTCGTCTCACAAGGATTGGCAAAAGGAAGTATTTGCTAATTGTCTTAATATTCTACTTTAAGGCAATTTATCCAGAGCAATCAAGTTCAAAGCAATAGCAGTAAACGATTAATGCAATCAATAATTTAGGAACAGGTATGGATTGAACAAGTATATGGGCTAAAATAATAATTTTAGATTAAATTAGCTTCTTAATTAAATTGATCTCATATCATTAACTTATCCATTTTTTCAGGCCTCATTAATGTGTCTAAATATGGTTGGCTAGATTATTTTTCTTAACTCATAGACAAGCTAGATAAATAATCTCCAAAGATTAATTAATAAATTGGCCAGATCTATTAATTAGTGAATCTCATTTTAGACAAGTGAATCAAATTAATCAAGTTACTAACTTAATTTTAATTACTAATCTTTAGCCCATACCCTTAATTCAATTCATACCTAAGTATTAATTTAGCCACTAAAAGCCATTAATTCATAATTCAAATCAGTATAAAAGATAATTTTATTAATAAAAGAAAGTTTACAAGAAAGCTTACAGATCTTGAAGAATTGAATACAAAGCTCACAATCTTCAAATCAAGACTCTAAGATCTTTAGAAGGACTCTCAAACTCAAATAAAGGGAAAAGTGGAAGTTTTTAGAGTTGTTTTGGAGTGATTTGGAGTGATGTGGAAGCAAAAGGCCGAGTGGGGTATTTATACCCGTGTAGAACCACAGGCGGGCAGACAGGCGGCCGCCTGTCAGCCCGCCACCGCTATGAGGGGAAGTTTCTGG